AATAGTAGGGGTAAAGTTTAGGCAAGGAAGGAATTCTTCTGTGGTGGTCTTAAAAAAAAAAGCAAAACAGAAAATACAGTGGCTGTGGAAAACTGTATGGGAGTTCCTCAAAAAATTAAGTCAAATTACTGTATGATCCAGCAATTCTGTTTCTGGGTGTATGTCCTAAAGAAGTGAAAGCAGGGGCTCACAGGGACATTTGTGCACCCATGTGCATAGCAGCATTATTCACAACAGCTAAAAGGTGGAAGCAACCCAGGTGTCCATCGATGGGTGAGTGGATAAACAAAATGTGGTATATACATCCAATGGAATATTATTCAGCCTTCAAAAAGAAGGAAATTTCTGCACGTGCTGCAACATGGATTAACCTTGAGGACATTATGCTGCGTAAAATAAGCTAGTCACAAAAAGAAAAACACCATCTGATTTTTCTCACGTGAGGTACCTAGAATAGTCAGATTCATGGAGACAGAGAGTAGAATGGTGGTGCCAGGGGCTGGGAGGAGGGATGGGGAGTGACGGTTTCATGGGTCCAGAGCTGCAGTTTTGAAAGATGAGATGAGTTCTGGAGGTGGATGGTGGCGGTGGTCGCAGGACACTATGAATGTACTTAACGCCCCTGAACTATACGCTTAAAAAATGGTTAAGATGGTAATGAGTATTTTACCACAGTAAGAAGAAAAATCCAAACCAAAAAAACCCCAGGAAGCTTACAAATTTTCCCTGTGGGTTGTTCCCCACGTTTCCCAGTGCCCTGTGGGCTTAGCAGATGAGAAACTGGAAGCTGCCGAGCGTGCCAGCGGGTTCCCAGCCTGCTGTGCTGCCCGGTGGAAGGGGCTCGTCTCCCACCTCGGGCGGCCACGCTGGCGCTGCGCTCCGGTCAGCGCTGTCTCTCCATCTCTTTGTACCAGTTGTATAGTCTTGCTGTCATCATCCATCAGGTACAGAAGCACTTCACTTTCTGAGTTCGTACCCCCTCTTGTTTCTGCTTTGGGGAAGTACATAACCGACTGGTCAGGGGCCCTCGGTTTATACTTCACAGTCTACGGTTTAGACAGGTGGTTTCTCTCTCTGAGTGGTTGGCATTTTCTTTTGCCTTGTAATTTTCCTTTTGTTCTTAGCACCTTTCTGAAGCGGTTGCATGGGGTGTTGAGATCCCTTTTAGGCTTCTGGTGTTCCTCCCGTTTGTTTGGAGTGATGACAGGTGAAGCAGCTGGGCTTTCCGGTGCTGGGGTTCGTGTGATTCCCGCAGCGCAGCCCCTCCCTCCAGCGGGGCTTCCTGGCAGCCTTCGCAGATGTGCTGTTCCTGATTTTCCATCGTCGTGGCATTTCCTTGAGGGCTTCACATATCTTGTCAGGTAGTAAAAGGGGAGATAAACTTGATTGTCAACGCCATTTCTAAATATAAATTTCTAATTTAAACGCGCTGTTAGAACTTCCCTTGGAAAGGTCATTTGGGAAAGCAGAGCTTTCGGTCACTCTGTAAGTGATCCCGCTTCACTTACTTCACAAGGACAATGCAGCGTGAAGGTCATATTCAGAAAATAGCATCATCTGCAGTGGCCCATTGATTATGTAAGACCAGGGGATCTTTGGGTGTTAGATGCCCAAGACTGGCAGCTTCTCCTTCCTCGGGACTCCTTCTTTTGAACCGTCTGCCTTCAAATTCTTAAAATGTCTGTTTACCACCCGCAGATTGGTCTTATTTGCAAAAGAAAAAAAAAAGCCAAGGTTATTGTCTCATTGATTTTGACAAAAGAAACTAGTGTGGAAGTGAAATTGTTGGTGAATCTTGACTGGATTTTCAGTAGACTCAGTCACGTCTAGGTTGTCAGTGGGAGACAGACGCTCCTTCCTGCCTGCCTTTGCCTGGACATTCTGGGTCGGGGTGTAAAGGTTTCTGTAATATGACACCTTCCCTATTGACTGTGAGTAGGCTTCAGGGGTCAACCTCCCCGAAATTTTCTGCGAAATCTGTATGTACATTTTTCTGGGGAAAGGATTCTATAACTTCTGTTAGGTTCTCGAAGAGACTCAAGCCCCAAAGCTCTAAGGATCCTTCTGAAACATGCTCAGAATACCTCTTTGCGGCTGGTACTGCCCCGAGTGGAGCTGTCACCCTGTGAAAGTAGTACCTTTTGAGTATTTCAGTTGGCCCCTTAGAAGAAAAGTGGACAACGTGGGCCATTCCCAGTCAGAAAGAAGTGAGCAGAGGGGAGGGGAACACTGTAGACTCTGTGGTAAGCACCAAAATGATGAAGGATTGACTCCATTTTATTTTGGAAAAAGATGCACCCTTCTCAAATGTTTGTTGATTCCTATAATCCTGGGGAAGAGAGTTACGAGCATACATGCTGGAGCCCGACTTCCTGGGTTTGGATCCCAGCTCTGCCATTTAGTGGTTGTGTGTCCTTCCGCAGATTATGTAATTTCTGTGTGCCTCAAGCATCCTCATATAGAAAATGGGAATAATATAGTCTTTGCTTCATAAGGTTGTTACAAGGATTAAAGGAGTAATATAAAGTGCTTGTGATAACATGTAGTACATGATAAGTGCTTAATAAATATTAGCTCTTAAAACGGAGCCAGGAGGTTGTCCTGAGTAATGTAAAGAGTAATAAAATATGGACAATTGGATTTTAGCAGTAAGACATCGTTCGATATTTTGGGTGCGTGTGTTGGTTATTTTGTACCCATCTCCGAAAAGTCACCTGTTTTCAGCATTTGTCTACTTATGAGCTGTTTCAAGTAAATTTTGGTGCACAAACATCACAAAAGGTGAAAGAATACTCTTACATACCCCTTTAGTAAAATAGGACGACAATCTGTGTTCTTGTCACAAAGTGTTGCATGGTGAGATTCTCCTTGTTAAATGGCTCCCCGTGGAATGACTAACTGGATGAGAATGTCATGTTTCCTTTGTGTCTTCAGAAATATATTGTGCAGTCTTTGATCCTAGATTTCATCCAGGATGTGGTCATTGGAGACTCACAGTCTGAGGTGTTACTTTTGTGATCAATTTACCCATCATCATTAGACCCCAGCGAGCTGCTCTCCATCTCTTTGCATTCATCTTCTGACTCATCTAATAAGTGTGAAATGTCTTCCTCTGTCAGTTTTATTCTTTTTGCCCTTATGAGTAGAAAATGAAAAATTAGGAATTCTCTACTGTATTCCATGAAAGGTAAAAAAAAAAATGACTGCAAAGATGGCATCTTCAGACTTCTACCTTCTTGAAAATGATGTACTGCTTGGGCAGTTCAGTGAGTAACCTGAAGGATGATGTCGTAGTGATGATTTATTTCACAATTGCATCATCTTACACCATCTCCTGTCTTTCTCCTGCTTTCTTAATTTAGTCTTTTAAAAAAATCATGGGTGGGAATAATTGATGAGTAGTGATGAAATAATTCCTACAATGATAAAGTAGCAAAATGTTTCAAGATGTTGGAAAAATAAGATCACTAATGTCTCATATTGCATCTTAGATTTTTAAAAGGGTCCAGTGGACTCATGGAAATTGTAAGGTGGAATGAGTTTTTGGAAGAGCTCCAAGAAAGAATAAAAGTCATGAAATAGCAATCCTCACAAATAGTTAGGACTGCTCAAAAAAGAAACTCAAAACTGACTTTGGATCCAGGGGACCCTGATGGTATGCTGGGGGTTAATCACACTTCTGATAAACAATCTGAAATAATTTGAAAGGCAAAGATTAACATATGAAGATGCTCATTGTGGTGTTATTTTTTTAAAATAGGAAAAACCTGAATGTATAACATAGAGTAATAGGTTGATTATGGTACCTTAATGTACCAAAATCTTTTTTTTTTTGGAGGAAGATTACCCCGAGCTAACATCTGCTGCCAATCCTCCTCTTTTTGCTGAGGAAGACGGGCCCTGAGCTAACATCTGTGCCCATCTTGCTCTACTTTATATGTGGGATGCCTGCCACAGCATGGCTTGCCACGTGGTGCCATGTCCACCCCTGGGATCTGAACCGGTGAACCCCAGGCCGCTGAAGTGGAACGGGTGCATTTAACCACTGTGCCACTGGGCAGGCCCCTTATGTACCAAAATCTTATGTAATGGTTTAAAGTTATATCCTCAGAAAGTCTGTAATGATAGGAGAATACAATCATGATAGAATATCAAATTTGTGGAGCATAATACAAAGCTGTATATACCGTGTGAGCTGAACTATGTAAAATATATACCGTCTGTGTGCCAGCTTCATAACGGCGTTTCTGTCAATGACGGACTGCAAATATGATGGTGGTCCCGTAAGATTAGTACCATGTAGCCTAGGTGTGTCGTAGGTTATACTGTCTAGGTTTGTGGAAGTACACTCTGATGTTCACACAATGACAAAATTGCCTAACGATGCATTTCTCAGATCCCCATCGCTAAGTGATGCATGACTGTGTAGAACAATATTGGCAGCAAATATATAAAATGTTAATAGTTTTTTTTTGGGTTATGAGGTGATGTGTAACATTTAAATAATCTATACGTTTCTCTATCTTCTAAAATCTATAACTAGCATATATTATTTTTTAAATAAGACTCTTTGTGATATTAAAGCAAATATTATTTTTTAATAAGTTTTAAGATACTATTTACATACTGTACAATTCACTCGAAGTCTCTCCTTCAGTATATTCACAACAGCTGTTCAAACATCACCATAATCAATTTTAGAACATTTCATCTCCCCAAGAAGAAATTCTATACCCATCAGCAGTCATTCCATTTCTCCCCGCCCCTCCAGCCCTAGGAAACCACCGATCTACTTTCTGTCTCTAGGATTTGCCTGTTCTAGACATTTCATATAAATGTCGTCATACGTGTAGTCCTTTGTGACTGGCTTCTTTCACTCAGCATCCTGTTTTCATGGTAAAGCAAATCACTCTTACACTTTAGTTGACTCATCTTATTTAGAAATCATACTAACCCTTGTTTGTCATAGGATATAATTTAGTTTTTTCCTTTACTTCTAGAGTTGGTTCCTTCAATTATGAACAACTTGTTGAATCCAGATGCCATTTTCGCCAACAACGAGATGAGCTTGTCTGACATTGAAATCTACGGCTTTGATTATGACTATACCTTGGTGTTTTATTCGAAGCACCTGCACACACTGATCTTTAATGCCGCTCGGGACCTTCTCATCAATGAACACCGGGTAAGAGCTCGGGAACGTTGCCGTCCTCCTCTCCCTTCCCGTAGACATTTGAACAACAGCCGTGGGCTGGGCTGGTCTCGTGCCCGGCACATGGACGTCATTTAGTAAGTTGTTGCTGAACGAATGAGTAGATTTTGTTCCATGCCAAGGGACTCTCTCTGGAAGATAGTTTTGATTTTTTCTAGAACCATTTTATTGAGGTATGATTGCCATGTAAAAAGCTCTACTTATTTAATGTGTACAACTCGATGAGCTTGGGGATAAGTATACACCCATAAAACCATCACCGCCATCAAGGTCATAAACTATTCATCGCCTCCCAAAGTTTCCTCCTGCCCCCTTTATTATTGTTGTTGTTATTTTGTGTGTGTGTGTGGTAAGAACACTTAAGGTCTACTCTCTTGGCAAATTTTAAGTATGTGATACAATATTGTTAGCTGTAGGTACTGTGCTTTGTAATAGATCTCCAGAACTTATCTGTCTTGCATAACTGAAGCTTTGTATCCAGAAGATAGTTGTTTTTTTTAAACAAAATCTTTAGATTCCTCTTTGACAGAAGACTGGTCCAGGCTGTGCATTAGTGGAGATTCAGCTGCACAGGTTTGGGCTCTTGTTTCTTGCAGAGCAGTGCTGTGGTTTCTGCCAGGCCTGATGAAGTGGCAGCCTGAGTTCCTTTTAAAAGGAATTCTTCAAATTTTAGGCACTGTTTTACCACCATCACTGATTTGAATTGTCCTTTTATAAAGGATATTTGAATGTTTTCTGATGCATAGTATTGTCGAGAGCTTATAATAAGGAAGGAAAAAAGAAACACTCCAAATGGAACATTCTTTTCTCTATTTAGTCTGAGTACACGTTGCAGGCCCCAGGAGGAGAAGCATCCTCAGAGGTCGTCTGGACTAGTGCCCTTTAAGAACGACCACCCAGCATCCTGAGAATTGCAGCTCGAATCTCCATCTCAGCCTGGAGTGCATTTCTCCGGGAGGCAGTTCTGATTTTTGGGAAATTCTTTGATGGGTTGAGCAATTCTGTCTTCATACAGCTTTTGCCATTGGTCTCTTTTCTTTATTCATTTGTTCATTCATTCGTTCCCATGTTCCTTAAGCCTTTACTGAGTACCCCTTCTGTGCCAAGCCCTGTGACAGAAGCTGGTAAGATGAAGATGAGTGGGACACAGGTCCTGCCCTTGGAGAAGCAGCTGTCTAGTGGGGAAGCCAGTCGTGTGAGCAGATGAGTTATGAGGGCACCTCGTAGAGGCCTCCGCAGGCATCTCAGCAGAGAGCTAGGGCTGTGTGGAGGATGCTTGGAACAGTTGTCTCTGCTGGAGGGAACTGGAGAAAATGGTGAAGCAGGTCCTGCTTCAGAGTCTGGAAGGTGGTTGTCAGCACAGGTCGGCTTGGGGTGGGTGGAGTGGGTGGGTGTGAGCAACCTAGAAACCACGTTATGGAAACTAATGTTTTATTCTTGACTATTTGAATAATGGGCTGAGTGTTAAATAGACCAGCCATTATGCCCACCAAGACTTCTTTTTTCCCGGGCCAATTGTTCTCATTCTTTGGACCATTCTCATTTGTCCTCTTTTCTAGTTTTTTCATCATCTTGGTTACCCTCCTTTGTGTGTGCTCTGATTTATCCCTCTGAAATGTGAGGCCCTGAACTGAAGATGTGACTGCAGGTGGGGTCTGACTAGTGCAGAACAGAGGGAGACCATCACCTCCCTGGTTCTGGATACCATACTTTTTTAATTTTTAATTTTTTTTTTTTGAGGAAGATTAGCCCTGAGCTAACTACTGCCAGTCCTCCTCTTTTTTGCTGAGGAAGACTGGCCCTGAGCTAACACTTGTGCCCATCTTCCTCTGCTTTATACGTGGGACGCCTACCACAGCATGGCGTGCCAAGCGGTGCTATGTCTGCACCCGGGATCTGAACCGGCGAACCCCTGGCTGCCGAGCAGCAGAACATGTGAACTTAACTGCTGCGCCACCGGGCCGGCCCCCCATCCGCCCCCCATACTTTTATTAATGCAGCCAAAGTTTTCCGTTAGTGTTGGATCCTCACCATTTGAGCCAGTGTATTTCCTGATCCCCTCTGCTTTTGATTATCAGTGGATTTAATAGGCAGCTCATTTTGTCCTCATTCAAAATGCAGAGATGGCATTTGCCAAAAAATGACCTTCCCTTCTGCCGCTAAGCCAACAGCCAGCTTTCTTTAGTAATGGCCACTTTGCCGGATGTAACCCTATCTAGCCACCTGCCTTCCGGCTGCATCTCTCCATCTGTTCAAGAGAGTCTCTCCTCTTCCGTTTAACCCGCGATCTCTTCCCTTGACTGTGAGGATGGAAGCAGAGTAAGAACTAGGTGGTCCTGCCTTTGCTCTCCTGTCTGCCAGCTCGCCCTGTCTCTCACCACTGAGGGTGTTGCCTTGGTGTGGGCATCCTAGTCCCAGGCCGTCTGCAGCATTTTCTGTGACTCTGATATCACTTATAAAATGAAGCTTACACTGATAGCACCGTCTCTTGATTGTCTGCTAGGTGCTCAAAGCACAGCTTCTAGAGCCTGACCACTGGCGTTCAAATCCTGGCTTTCACAATCTTGAGCAACTCACCTAATTTCCCTGGGCCTCAGTTTCCTCCTCTGTGAAATGGGCACAGTAGCAGTTCTTTCCTCACAATAGTGTTGTGATGATGAGATGAGTTAATCTATGTGACATGCCTGGCACACAGAAAATGCTCAGTTGATGTTAGCTGTTATTACTATTATTTCTAGTCTGCATGACAACCCTGCAAATAGCTATTGTCTCATTTGAGACTTTTAGAGTGAAGCTAGCAGTGCAAGGCCACAAGACGGCGGGGGGGGCACAACCAGGCTTTGAACTTAGATCTGTCTGTTTCCAGATGCAAATGCTCTCTCCTTTATTCCACATTGCCCCTTTCGAGATTAATGACGCCTTTCGTTTCTACCCTATGGGTTTATTGTTCAAATGAAAATAAAATATTCATGAAAAGAAAAAATGTATGAAGATAAAAAACTTCTGAAATTTGGGGAGAGAGATGAAATCGTTCTGGGAAGAAAGGTGCAATAATTATGATTAGAAAATCTAGATTTAAGATCGTTGAAATTTCATTCCCATTATGTCTGTTTGTGGCTTTGATAAAAGAAATATGTCGTAACACTAATTATATCAGGCATATTAATAGAGTCAATTATGCAGATTTTTCTCTTGCTTTGGATTTGAAAATAATTCTTCCAAGATGCTGTTGGAAGCATTGTTTGGTGCCATTTTTCCTGCCAAGACTAAATGTACTTGTAGAGATGGAAAGGCATCTGCTCTTGAGATGCGCAGTAATAGAACAGTGAGTTTGCAATTTAGCATCTTTCCAAAAAGCAAATCTAAAAGTTCCAGCCCCTTCTTAATTACTTTTTTTTTTATAAGAGCAAGTTTCTATGAAAATGGAAATAAGAAATATCAGGTAGTAACTGTATCTGTATCTTCATTTCTTGTGTCCACCAAGGGATAGAAAGGGAGGATTAGAAGACTTCTTGATTTCATCTCCCAGATTTGCACCCCCGTCAGTGATCCTGATTGTTAATTGTTACTGATGTTCACTCAGTTTATCAAATCCAAAGCCTAACATTAGCTGTGACCCCTCACATTCTCCTGTATTCCACGTCTGATCTCTCAGCAAATGCTGCAGGTCCTCTCTCTTTTTTAAAATAAGCTTTAAAAAAATTTTTTTTTTTTGGTGGGGAAGATTGGCCTTGAATGAACATCTGTTGCCAATCTTCCTCTTTTTTTTTTCTCCCCAAAACCCCAGAACATAGTTGTATATCCTAGTTGTAGGTCATTCCAGTTTTTCTATGTGGGATGCCACCACAGCATGGCTTGGTGAGCAGTGTGTAGGTCTGTGCCCAGGATCTGAACTGGCAAACCCCAGGCCACTGAAGCAGAGAGTGTGAACTTAACTACTCGGCCATCGGGCCGGCTCCTAAATAAGCTTTTAACTTTAGAAGAGTTTTAGGTTTACAGAAAAGTTGCAGAGGTTACACAGAGAGCTCCTGTATACATACCCCACACCTGTCTCCTGTAATGCTAACATTTTACATTATTGTGGTACATTTATCACAACTAAAGATTCAATATTAATAAAGTATTATTCATTGAAGTCTGCACTTGATTCCGATCTCTTTAGTTTTTATCCAACGTCCTTTTCCTGGTCCGGGATCCTGTCCAGGACACCACCTCACATTTAGTTGTCCCGTCTCCTTAGGCTCCTCTTGGCTTTGACAGTTGCTCAGACTTCCCTTGTGTTTTGACGACTTTGACAGTTTTGAAGATCACTTGGGTACTTTTTAGGATGCCCATTTCCCGGGACCTGTCTGATGTTTTTCTCGTGCTGAGCCTGGGGTTACGGGATTTGGAGAGGAGACCACAGAGTGGTAAAGTGCCATTCTCCCCAGTCGTGTCAAGGGTGCATACCCCCGACGTGACTGTTCACCGATGGGGTTCGCCTTGACCGTCTGGCTGAGGTAGCGTTTGTCAGCTCTCTCCCCTCTGGTTTACTCTTTTCTCTCTTTCCGTGCTGTTTTCTTTGGGAGAACGTCACTGTGCAGCCGTGAGCTCTCTTTTCACTCATTCAGAAGGTGTCCTGACTCCATCCCCTGCTCGCCTCCCCCACTGCCATCATCTGGTCCAAGCCACCGTCGCCCCCACCCGCTGGTGCAGTGCCTCCGCCGGCTCTCCCTGCTTGCCCCTTACTCTCTTCTCCATGAGGCAGCAAGAGGGCACCTTTAGCATTAATCGCATCATTCCTGGGCTCAAACCGCTCAAGCCTTCCCGTCACACTTGGAATGACAGATCAGGCCTCCCAGTGCTCCCAGGTTCCCCGCTGCCTCACACTCTCTCCTCCCACCTGCCCTCGCTCTGCTCCAGCCACACCGGCCTCCTTGTTGCTCCTGGAACCGCCAAACGCGTGCCTACCTCTGGACCTTTGCACTTGCCATTTCCTCTCCTTGGAACATCCTTCTGCCCCCAGGCAGCCTGAGGCGTTGCTCATCTTTTTCCCCCCCCCCAATTTCTGAACCCTGTACTGCCTTTTCTTCATAGTACTTATTGCTACAAAACACTATACTGTGTGTTCATTTGTTTATTTATATATGGTCTGCCCCCCGTGGCAGGATGGAAGCGTCTTAGGGGCAGAGACTGTGTCACTTTTGTTTGCTGCCATATTTCTGGGCCCTGGCAGAAAGTATACGCTCAGTAAATCCCTGGCGTCTTTCTTGAATTCCGCAGTTAAGTTAAGTTAAGTTAAGAGAATATCGTGCTTCTTGTGGCATCTCTACTGTGGGGCAGGTCCTTTTGCCCGAGCTTCCGGTTTCATATGGCTTTCTCAGAGCTTGTTTTCATGCCCTTCTGCCCTGCCTCGAATTAGGCTTATAATTTAGGCTACTTTAAATATCAAACAGAGACTCTGAAAAATGGATCTGTTTATAGGCATGTGGACCTCACGAACTCAGGGGCAGTGTTGTAATGGAGAGGTCACTAGCTGTGTCAGAGCTCTGTAACTAGCCGGGAGGGGGTCATGTGGCCAAGCTGCAGAACGGTAGGAATTAGACACACATGGGGATTCGTGGAGGCTCTGCAGTATTTTAGGATTAACTTTGCTTGAAGCTGTCAGGGACATTTCTGTAGCATTTTCGGGGGGAAACCTTGCTCTTTCTTTGTCCCCACCCTCTAGCCTGCCCAGATTGCAGCTGGAATTAGAACAAATCCAGGAACTGAAGGAAACCAGATTGAGCCTAAAGAAGATTTTTTAATAAAAATCCCAAGGAAGGGGGTTTTAGCTTCGGTATTCCTTAGTGCTTTTAGGGACCCCGGTCATCTTCATGACACATCGGGCGAGTCATGTTTTTCAGACTGGTGGAAAGTTTCTCAACTCTGGAGAGTTCAGAAAATGTAGCCGTGGGCCCTGGGAGGGACAGGTAACCTCCGGGCTGATGCGAGCTGCTTCGGCTTCCTCCACGGTGTGTTACAGTTCATGGTTATTCCCAGAGGTGCTGCACGTGTGTGCTTGTGCATGTGTGTGCATGTGTATTGGAAGGTTGGAATGTCCCATCACGAGGACATTTTGGCTTGGCTGGCTGTATGGGGAATCACAATTTAGGGGCAAGAGTGGAGCACAGAAATCATCCTAGTCCAAGCATTTCGTTTTCCAGATGAGGGACGAGGCCTGGGGAGGTTAAGTGACTCGCCTGAAGTCCTCCAGGAGAGCAGCGGAGGGTGGCCGAGTGGCTCTGACAGCCCGGGCCCCCCCTTTCCGGGCCAGCCGAGCAGCACAGTTCTGCTGGGCACTTGCTGTGTGCTGGAGACCACCCTCACTCCCCGCCGGCATCTTTTCACTTAATCTTCTCCACTTCCACGTAGGGTAGGACTTTTGCTATTCTTACTTTGGAGATGAGAAAACCAAGGCTCAGAGAGACAGACCACCCTGCCCAAGGTCAGCCAGCTTTCACAGGGTAGGACCAGGATGTGACACCTGGTCCCTCAGCCCCGGAGCCAGTGTTGTTCATCGTGACGTTGTCCTGTTGAGGCTCTCTCAGCTGCTCTCTCAGTTTTCCAGGTCGTCTGCTACAGCCTCTGGACCACTTGAAAAACATGGTGTGTCCATCACGCTTTGTGTATCATTGTGTATTTTTTCTGAGGTTTACCGTCAGTCTTTAGTGCGTGGCGCTGCACATTGACAGGTCACACACTTTGGCCCCGGGTTGGCCATGGCAACTTGCAGTGAATCTAAAGGTCTGAGCACCAGCCTGGCCTGCATGGCACAGTGGTTTGTTCCAGCCCCCGCCACTCCCCACGCTCCTTCCGAACTCCGCTGCGGCCCTGCACGGACACCAGCAGCTGCGGGACTGCTTGCTTTTGAGTGCACACCAGCTTTACACAGAATTCTAAGAATGTGTTCTTGCTGTGGCTCCCTGAGAACACACAGCAGGAGCGACAGGCAGGGGAACGTGCGTGGGTGCAGGGCCCCGTCTCACTGTGATGTCTGAGTCCTGCTGGGGAACCTGGAGAAGGCTTGTTCAAAGAAAGAACCACTAGACCTCTCAGCCATCCATGTAGAGAGACTCTAGCGCCGTCTCTCAACTACGGTAGCCGGCACTCCCCTCGTGCCCTGAATCCTCTCAGCAAACTTACAGAGCTGCCATCACAGGAGGTGACGAGCATCTCGTATGGTGGCTCAGGGGTGGTTTGGAATTGGTTACGGGGTGGTTAGCTGTGGACCTGAGTGTGACACGGACCTGGGTTCGAGTGCTGACCCAGCCACTGTTACCTCTGTGAGCTTGGGCAGCTTCCTTCACTCTGCTCCTCAGATCATTCAACAGGAGCACAGGCCTGAGGCGCCTCCCTCCTTCACGCTGGGGTAGTGAGGAGTAGAGAAAGTCGCAGGAAGGGTCTGGAGCAGTGTGTGGCACCTGGGCACGGCTCAGTAAATCACGTCTCTCAGGAACGTTGGAAATCTCTCCCTCCTGTCCTGCGCCTTATTCCTCACTCCCGAGTTTAGAAGGAGATTCCAGAGATGTGAAGTTCCTTGGTCTCGCCTCAGTAAGCAGAACCGTGGTTACCATGTGTTGGGTTCTGTGTGTGTGTGTGTGTGTGTGTGTGGTGAAGTATGTCAGTAAAATGCAGAGCTGTACACAGTGTGCAGAATCCTTGGAAACGCCCATGAGTGGAAATGTCATTTAGTGATTTCTTGATACACGTGGCAGGTGTTAGATAAATGAGCCCAAATGTGACATTTGAGTTAGTGCTTCGTGCAGCTTGAATTGAAAACTCGCCACATGCGGTTCAGCCTGGTGGTTCCGGGAAGTGCTCTCACAGAAGAGGCTTTCCACAGGCTGTGGAAAGTTAGTGAGGCCGTGTGGAGAGGTTTCCTGTGCGTCTTGATAGTTGTCTAGGTTTTCAGTTAAGCAGTTTCCACCATGATTGGACGATCCTGGTGACATGGCCTCTGTAGACTCAGGAATATATATTCTGTCCTGCAGATCTGTGCTCTTGTGGGTGGGTAGGAGTGGGGAGAGCAAGGGCAAAGGGCCGACCTGACTCCCTGCCCCACCACGCCCCAGCTGTGTGGCCCAGGCCAGGAGGTTTCGTCTGGTGCCTCTGATTCCTGTCTGTAGAATGGGCGTTGTAGGGCCTGCTGCGCAGCGGCAGCAGATGCTGTCAGCAGGATAGCTGGGGTTCTCATTCTGAGGTTTGGGGAGGGAGGGAAGGACCTGGATGCCTGGTGCTGTAGATAGGAAAGGGGCTGGCATTTTGCATGGTTTGAGGAATGGTTTTCTAACTAGGAAACACCAGGGGAGCTGAGCTGCCTCCAAAAGTCATGCATGTTCTGAGACGGCATTGGAGCATAACTGGAGCCACATGCTGAGAAGGGGTCTCTCTGGGCCCCGGAGGGAGGGAGGTTGTACCGAGAGCCGTGGCGTGCCGCCAGCCCCTGGAGGGTGAGCAGCGGCCAGCTGTCCAGATGAGAAAAGCAGTGAAAGCTCCGTGGAGGCGGCCCCCTTTGAGAAGTTCTCACCGTGAATCTCTTCATGAAACCTGGTAGGGGGCCGTCCAGGGGTCTGCTACATCGAGGGGCTCAAATGTGAGCTGAATGGGTGGTTGACAACGTGTTCAGAAAAGTCTTCTAACTGATGGGACATTCCAGCTCCTCCTCCTCAGGACCCTTAAACGCAGTAGGAGGAAGGGGTATTGGAGGTCGAAGCGGATGCGTTTCGGGGATCTCAGGAATCTGGGAGCCAGGGGCAGAGGGGAGGGAGGGGGTGGGATTTAAGATGAGGGAGATTGGAAGGGATGAGGCCCCACCTGCGCTTGGGCGGCTACAGGGCGTCGAGCAGGAGGGCTGGCTCTGGCCAGGAGGCGCTTGGACCGGGAGCAGAGGGACAAGCTGTGGTCCGTCCCTTCTGACCCAGGTTGCTCAGCCACCTCCACCCCGTGCAGGATCAAACCTGGACTCTGTCTTGAATTTCCTACTACGTTGTTAGCTAAAACCGGTTCCTTTCTTCCTCCTTAGTATCCCGTGGAAATCAGGAAGTATGAGTATGACCCAAGTTTTGCAATTCGTGGACTTCATTATGACGTGCAGCGGGTAGGTTTAATTCTCATGTTCTTCTCCAGTTTACTGGTGTTTGAGAATAAAGTGTGCCCTCGGTACTCTTCTGTGCTGAACACATAAATTGATTTTAAATTATGTTCTTTGGGGCTGCAGAACTGAATTATTCAAAACATCTTTGGATAAAGTCTTTTTCGAGAAACTGTGCATTAGAAAAGCATGAATGCGTTTAGCTGTTTGGGAGATAGCATTTATTTCCAGTCGTCATTTTCGGTGTTCTGAGGAGGAGCCAGTTGTCACGTCCTTTTTTGCAGACAGACCATTTCCTTAGTGAGTGCACAGTGCTCTCATCAACAAGCAAACCTTTCGGAAACGTACGGTCTGCTGCTTTGTTGTAACAGCTTAACGTGGATAGGATTTCTCCTGACACCCGGAATTCGCATTAGATATGCACAGTGTTGTGCCTTATTTACCTGTGCATGTGTTTCTGTTTTTGAAGGCAGTATTGATGAAGATCGACGCTTTTCATTACATCCAGCTGGGAACTGTCTACAGGTAAGAGTAAGAAGAGGTACATTTAATTCACCCGAAGTAACCAGGTGGCTTTGGGTTTCAAGACCCACGGACTGTTTAGTGATGAGAAAGGCTGCAATGTGTGTATTTGTAATTCATTCATTCATTCACTCACTCCCTCGTTCAGGAACATTTGTTGGGCCTACTACTGTGCCAGATGCTAACGGTTTGGCTTCAGAATGCCCTCCGGGAGCTCGGGGTGTGGGTGGGAAGCCACACAGTAAACCAGTGACTGCAGTCTAGTGCAAGGCAGTGATGGACGTGTGCTCGGACCATTGGGGAGCACCCTGGAGGACTGGGGAGGGCAGGGTTCAGAGGCGTGGCCAGCCCCTGAGTGGCGGTCCTGGAGAGGACATTTGGGTGGGGAGGGGTACTGGGCGAGGGGGGCGGGTGCTTGTTCCCAGGTGGTAGTTGAGTAGTTTGGATGTTAAGACTTTTTTTCCTATTTATGAGAATTAGGAGACGCCCTTAGCTCGGTTAGAAATCTTTAGGACTGAAAATGAAGGGTTTCGCCTTTTCTAATTCTCAAATTGGGGTGAGGTTTAGGAATGTGGTTTGTGTTTAGATTCATATATTGTACCTTAAAAGAAGATGTTTGCATTTCTTAGATTATTCTCTCCCAAACTATTTATTAAAATTAATATACATGTAAATATTTTTTATCAAAGTAAAACACACGCACAGTTACAGTCAAATAGCACTAAAAACATCATAGCACTAAAAATGACAACAGGCCTCTGTCCTCCCCTCCCCACCCAACTCCTGTGGACGCTTAGATTTTTTTCTTTTGGCCTTTTTCTTCCTATTTCTAATAAATGTGCTCATACTTCTCTTTCCTAATATATTAATTCTAGCCATCATCCCTGCTATGAGAGATGAGGATTTAGCTCTGTCGCACTCACACCTCCTCCTCCAGCCTCATCCTTCTGACCTCGCTAAGATCTCAGCATCTGGTTGTTTCCCCATCCTGGTTTGCATTGTGACTCTGCCTGGCTCGTTCATTCTTAAGCCAAGCTGTGCACATGTTTCTTGTATGATGTTTGGTTTTTCTTAGATTTAATGATAACTTCATTTTTTGTTTGCTTAGTTTTCTGTGTAGGTGTCCCTAGTTTTTTTTTAAATGCTCCTTCACAGATATGAAGCATGAATTTGTTTCCCAACACTTCACATGTCTTAAATAATCTATCAGTTACTTTTTTTTTTAAATTGACTACCCCCTCCTGCTCTGATCTGCTCTGATTGGGTTCACCTCTTTCCCTGTTCCCTGGTTCCCATCTCCTCCTCTTTCTGCCTTTACGCCCTCATTTTGCTGGAGCACATCCTGCAGTAGCTTCCTGGTGCCCCCTAGGGCTGAGCCTTTCTGGAGGGTCTGTGGCAGTTAATCAGTTCTTCTCGTTGGTGTCCCCTTGCAGGTCCCTGTTCTTAGTGTGGCCAAGTCAGGAACCTCCTTTTCATCTACTGTTTCTCTTCTAAAAACGTCTTGAAATGTCTTGTCTCCTGATGGGTTTGCTCTCATTTCCTTTACCTTCTGAGCAATTCATACTTTACTGTTTTACTGTCATTTTAACGGTGTTTCAGGAGGAGAAGAGGTAGTGGTGATGATGAGAATAATAATATTAGTAATAATAAATAGCAACTAACAAATATTGAGTCTTGCTATGGGACATGGCCATGGAGGTTTATTTGAGTTAACTCATTTGATCCTTAAAATAAGCTGATGAGGTAGATATTGTTATTAGTTCCAGAGATGTTAAGGACCTTGCACAGGGTCACACACAAGTAAGTACCTGGGCTAGAATTTAGACCCATGCTCCAGAGTCTCTTCTGGGCCAGCATGCCGTGTGGCCTTTCTGAAGGTATAAGGGTTGACTGGAAGTCTGTCACCAGACCTTTTGAATCTGTCCTTCTGTCTCTGTTTCTACCATCAGCTCCCTGGCCCAGACACTTACCCCCTCTCCCCTGGGCTCCTGCGGTTTTCTGCAGAGCATCCTAAACTGGACTGTGTCGCTAGACTGACTTCCCTAAAGCATTGCCCTCAACAACGCCCTCCTATCTTCTGAGGTCCTAGATGGTGCCACTGTCTAGAGAATGGAGCTCAACCTCTAAGGAGGTTTTCCTGCTCCAAACCCTTAGCTTCCTCTTCTTCCATACACAGCTCCTTCACTTACTGGACTGGTTAAGACCCTTAGTTGCAAGTGACTGAAACCCAACTCAAAGTGGCTTAATCAGAAGCACAGTATTGGCTCACTAGTTTGTACAGTCCAGGGACAGTGCCACTTGCAGGTGTGGCTGGCTCCAGGGGCCCAGTTGATGTTGTCAGAACTCTCTGCATCCCTTGGCTCTCCTCCTCTCTGGGTTAGCTCACTCTCAGGCAGGCCTCTCCGTGTGGTGACCCTGGCAGTACTGGGCTTCCAGCCTCTGACTTCAGGTTGAGAGAAGAGGGGAGCTTCTCTTCCCAGCAGTTTCAGACGGTCTTGGACGGGGTGGGTGCTGGGCAGGTGAAAACACATATTCTTTCTTCTGAGTTCTCCTTTCTCACCGCTTGGCATCTGGCCATGCTGGCGTCCTGCCAGGATGCAGTGTTCCTTCTTCTGCCTCTCGAAGTCCCACCCCTCCTTCGGGGCCGGCTCCTCGCTGCTCAGCCTCACGCCGTCCTTCTCGCTCCTCTTCTGTGGTCACATGATCCTGTGACTCCTAATTGTCTAGTTTCTTCTGCAGATAAATTGTCCATCGTTCTAAGGAGTGTGGACGGGGCTGGAGGAGGAGCCAACGGAGGCATTTAGAGGAGAAGGAGTCTTCAGATTAAGGTCCTGGGAGGGTCGCCGTTGCCTCAGGGCTGAGAGGGGGTTTGGGGGCTGAGGCAGCAGGGCGCATGTGTGGGCTCTGGAGTCACACTTCCTGGGGGTAACCCTGGCCCCACCGTTCACAGGCACGTGGCCTCGAGCAAGCTCTAGATCGTCTTAAAGCCTTGATCTGCTGCTCTGTAAAATGGGCCAGATTCCAGTGCCCGCCTCAGGGGAGGCTTGTTGGCAGACTGAAGCACGCCTGGAACAGTGCCCGGAGCACTGTGACGCACCTCATCCATCCAACCTGTAGATCAAAAGTAGGGTGAGTTTTTTGTGAGCCAGAGTGGGGATTATAACCCGGGAAGGCCTTAGAAGGTGTTCCGGAGAAGCATGCGTTTCAGTACAGTCTTATATCTTTTTGGAACAAAGAGGGTACATTGAACACACCCAGGATACATTTTCAAAGAGGTATTCAGTTGCAAATTAGCAGATCAACGTGACCATGCTGCCAGGAAAGGGACTAATCGGGGTGTCCCCACTAGGGTGTCCCCAGTAGGGCATAGGAGGGGAAGTGTGCGTTCTTTGTTTTAAGAGAGTGCATTCCTTACTTTAATGGATGAGCAGATGTGCAGTGTATGTTTGATAGGCCGTAAGTCAGGCTTTCTAGTTTAAGCCGAATCAGTTTTGAACTCGAATAGTTATCCCATATACCTCAGTAGGTGAAAATGTCTTGTCAGGAGGCTCACGTGGCTGCCACTTCTCTCCCTTTCCCCTCAGAGGGGGTTACGGATGAGCGGATGGCTGGGAAGAATGCTCCAGCCTCAGTGTCCCCATTTCTGAGACGTGCCGTGGGTCTCCTGCTCCTCCGTCAGGTTGAGTTTGAGGCCCTGGGCTGTGGGAGTGAGTGCCCTGGGCGGAGGGCGGCCTGGCCCTCCCTGCAGTCCCACTTTGTACCCGCCTTTGAAGTTCTTAACAGGAACCTGGTGAAAAGCCAGGGTTGTGCCTGTCCCCATCACACCAGGAGACTTGGATGGCGCTCCCCATACGCCGGTTACTGTTCTGTGAGTAGGAGCTCGTTGACTCTTCTCAGTGACACCGGGAGCTAGGTGCTGTTAGTGAGCCCCGTTTCAAAATGACACGGAGACCCAAAGAGCTTAAATCGTTCAGGTAGTGCCCCTGGTAATTAAGGGAGCTGGGATTTGAACCCCGGGGAGACTCGTTCACATCTGTGCCCCTAACCTTTCTCTCTCTCATAAGCATATGGGGCCGTGTATGGAGTTTGCATTTCGGCGTTGGTGCTGGTGTGGGGTGTAGGCTGCGTTCCAGTGCGCTTCTGGGTGGTGCTTCCTCTGCGGGAGCCGCCTCCTGCGGGGTTCTGCAGACCGCGGCTGGCTGATTGCTCCCCTGCTTTGAGCTGACATTTGGTTACTTGGGCCTTAAAGATGCAGCTTGTGTGGCCACGCGCCTGTCAGTGTGTCTTAGAGGTGGCAGTGGCTTCCGAAGGGTTGGCCAGAACCTACTGTGGGGGCAGACAACTCACCCGCCAACAGGATTCTCCTACTTCTTATATTTTCTTTCTCAGTGTTGGAGCCACTGGGGTTTGCACAGCTGACTGCTGCTGCTTCAGCAAGGGCTGTTTTCCAAGGTCACTGTCTAGAGTGATCTGGTCTGGGACCAGTGTCTTATCTGGTTTCCCGAGCCAAGATAAAGGGAAGTACAGTGCCTCTTTTGTTTAAAAAGGCCAGTAGTTGTAACAAGTTAATCAAGATCAGAGGCAAAATATTAATGAGTCCCCTTGGATATTTTTAAAAGTAATATGAGGGCAGAGAATGAAAGAAAGAGGCTGAAATTATATGTTAAAGTTACATAGCAAACATAAATCATATTTTATATGTATTTTAATATTGGCTAAGTGATTTTGTATGATAAGCAACTCGTTTGTATTGGTAACTAGAATTCTTACTGGGTTGTTTGTACCCCTACTATGGCACAGCGTGGTGTCCCATTGTTCATTCTCTGGCATCCTGCTCATTGGTGCCTGTTTCTTAGGTGCCTCCTCTAGAGAAGGGGGTCGAGGAGCAGACATCTCCCTTCATGTCACTCTAGAGTGGGCGATCGGGGGGAGGGACTGAGAGACCACTGAATCCCCGTGAGAGCACCTGGCAGAGGCAGGGGTGCAACCCAGGCCACTCTGACTCCAAAATTCCTTTTCCCCCTGTGTGGAGGAGCTGGTGCCTTTGCAGGAGGCAGACAGATGGCGGATGTTACCTTTGCTTTTTATAGATGGGAAACTGGCCTTCACTGCCACATAGCGTTTGGGGTCATCCCTCTCAGAGGTGGTGCCCAGGCTTGCTGCCTTGGGTCATGGGGTCTCGCCCACCCGAGCCTCGTGCATGACTTTTTCCCCTTCAGCACTGACCTTCTGAGGGCAGAGTGTCCGAGGGCAGGAGGATCTTGGAGACAGAACCAGCCTTTCTTTCCCTAATGTATTAAAAACATTTAAAAAAAACCCAGCCCACCCAAAGCAAGTCATTAGGAGGCCTCGGAGCTTGTTGAGGGAGGCAGCGTGACCTAGTGGTTGAAGAACCTGGGCCCTAGGCCCAGAAAGCCTGGCATCTAATCCTGACCCACCACTTTCTGCTTTGGTGACCTTGGGCAAGGTCCATGACCTTTCTGTGCCTCAGTCGCCTCCGCTGGAAGATAGAAAGAAGAATAATGCTGCCCTCCTAGGATTGCTGAGAATTAAGTGAATGACTATGTGGGATTCATAGCTGCCATAGAGTAGCTCCCATGTAGTGTTAGCTGTTGTTTTACTGCTCTTATTACCAGTAGGATGGTAGCAGTAGGAACAGTAGTAGCATCTCGCCTGTGATTTGTAGCAATTCCTGGTGGCACATCTCGCCTCCTTATGGTAACAGCATCTCGCACCTTGGATGAAAAATCCTAGCAGTTGCCAGAGGTCTGACAGTCATTGCATCTCTAGTTGAGCTCTTTAACTGCACCACTTGTGATTTTTCCAGAGGCCTCAGCGTTGTCCCCGATGAAGAAGTCATTGAAATGTACGAGGGGTCCCACGTGCCTTTGGAGCAGATGAGCGACTTTTATGGAAAGGTAATGAGAAAACTTGATTTATTGAAAGCTGCCCATCTGTTTCTTTTTCGGAACACGGTCTGCTGGATTTAGGATCTTGAGCTACGAGACTGACTGCTCAGATGGAATCGACAAGGGAATTGGGATTGTGTGTCGAGAGCGATTCATGTGTGAGCGTCTCCTCTAGTTCTTTCCTGATTCTGCCTTCTCGGCACTTTCTTCCCTTCCTGACGAAGGCTCTTGATCCCTTCCTTGTGCCTCCTCCTGGTTGCCCCCACCTCCCTGGGCGTGTCCCCACCTTCTGGATTGTCACCAGCTGTCAGTGCACCAGCTGTCCCCTCCCCTCTGACCGAGGGCAGCACATGACTGTCCTGCAGGGAAACCTACTTTCCTAACTCTTTGTGGTTGCGCTCAGGACTTTTGGCTGCTTATCGTCTTGGATGCGCTCTCTTATTTGCGTTGTCCGAATGCAGTGGCCGGTGCCTTGCAGCCGGGAAACTTTGCGTTAGAAATCGCAGGCACTTACAGAAGGGTCTTTTTCAAGCTTACATTTGGGCTGTGAGGATGCTCAAGTTCAGAGAACTACGTGGCTTTTTGTGCCATTCCGTGGGCAGTAATCTGTTGGCCGGCTCTCCTCCGTGTTTGATGAGCATGTGAACTGGAGTCAGAGCACAAAGGAGGGTAGGAGGGGAAGGGTGGTCAGACTTGGGGGAATCAGGGCATGTCCTTAGATTTCCGACTGTGCTGAGAGTGTGACCTCCGCTCTGCCGTGAACGAAAAGAAACAAGGTGAACATTTTTATTTTTATCGTTCAATTTTTTTTCTTGTGGAGAGGGATCCCGCTGTTGGCGACCAGAATCCCCCTCGCTAGATGCGGAGGCCAGCTCTGCTGTGGTGTCAGCCTCCGTTTCTGAAGCCTTCTCCCTGCCTGCAGAGTTCTCACGGAAACACCATGAAGCAGTTTATGGACATCTTCTCCCTGCCGGAGATGACCCTCCTGTCCTGTGTGAACGAGTACTTCCTGAAGAACAACATTGACTACGAGCCTGTCCACCTCTACAAAGACGTCAAGGTGGGGTCGACGGGGGAGGTTACGATGCCGCCTCCCTTTCAGCTTCTTAGCAGGGTCATTAGCCTCCTTTGTGGGTCTGGTGTTTGAGATAGTCCTTCCCCTGGGATCTCTTTTCTTTGCGATTTAACCCTGAAAATTGTAAGAAAGATCTTACGTTAGGAGAATTGGAAATCTGTCAAATTTGTTGTTCAAAGAAGAAGGTGCCCATGTTGTTTATCTGGATTTCTAATTCTTTCTGACCAAAGACCAGGGCCAGTGTACCTGGCCAGAGGGGCGAGTGGTGGCTGAGGTTCAGGCTGTACCCAGCTCCCTGCTGTGCCTGCCCTCGGGGCAGGGTGACTCCTCCCAGCGGTGGCATTCACAATGCAGGCTGCAGGCCCCCAGGACTGCAGTTGCCCAGAGGGGGCACCTTTTTATTTTATTTTTTTTGAGGAAGATTAGCCCTGAGCTAACATCTGCTGCCAATCCTCCCCTCCCTCCCTCCCTCCCTCTCTCCCTCTCTCCCTCTTCTCTCTCTTCTCTCCCCCCCCACCTTTTGTTTGCTGAGGAAGACTGGCCCTGAGCTAACATCCATGCCCATCTTCCTCTACTTTATATGTGGGACACCTGCCACAGTATGGCTTGACAAGTGGTGTGTAGGGTCGCATCTGGGATCCAACCTGGCAAACTCCAGGCTGCCAAAGCAGAACATGCGAACTTAACCACTGTGCCACCGGGCCAGCCCCAGGACCACCTTTTCTTGCACACAAAGGTTACAGATAGGCTTTCCTAGGCCCTGCAAAAGCTATGCAAAGATCCAGTCAGAGTGGGATATAGCCAAATATAAACATTTATATGCATATATACATGCATCATTTATATAACCTTGTATTCATATATTTTAATTTATATTCACATTCACATGTGTTTATGTATATTCTTTAAGCTGTCTGCACTTTTTTCAGTATTTAAAAATGTTTATATATTACTTATTTTATATATATATATATATTTTTTTTCTTTGCTGAGGAAGATTTGCCCTGAGCTGCCATCTGTGCTAGTCTTCTTCTATTTTGTATGTGGGTTGCTGCCACAGCATGACTCACGAATGGTGGAGGTCTGCACCCAGGATCCGAACCCTTGAACCTGGGCCGCGGAAGCAGAGTGTGCCAAACTTAACCACTATGCCATGGGGCTGGCCCCAATATATATTTATTTCTAATATAAATTTATAAGCATGTATTTATAAATAATTGATTTAAGTGTATATTTTTAAGGATCCATATTTATATACTACAATGTTTTCATTTATATGTTTATGGCTAATTTTAAATTTTGACTGCCCTGAATCATGGGTTTTAGGAAGATAAAGGATGAATGATAATTTCTCAATATCGATCTTGTGTTATTTGAACTAAATTTAAATGTTTAGTTTCTGTTCTCCTTTTTGTGCACAGAAATGCTTCATCTTTAAGAATCTTAGTCACTTGTAGTTACGTGACCCTTTGCATTCAGGAGGAGAGATATTTATTTGAAAGTTCAGTTTTTACTATATATATTACTACCACCAATAGTAAATGCTTATGTAGAGTTTAGCATGTCCCAGGCACTGTTTTTCTGAGTGCTTTATGCATATTAGCTAATTAAATCCTCACAGTAGTGCCTTGAGGTAGGTGCTATTATTACCACCCTCATTTTACAGACAAAGAAATTGAGGCACAGAGAGGTTGAGTAACTTGCCCAAGGTTGGACAGCTAGTAGGTAGCAGAGTCTAGATTTCAAGCAGGGAACTTTGGCTCTGGCTTGCTCTTAACCACTGCCTTCTGCCGACGTGAAGTTAAAAGAAGCCCAGGCTGGAAGGTAATCGAAGTTGAGTTCACAGTCCAGAGGTGCTCGCTCTCAGCAGGAATTTCCTACCAATTTTCTAAGGCTTATGGCCCAGTCTTGTATGCAGCCCAGTCCCCTGCTGCAGGCTCTGGAAAGTTTCCGTGTGCCTCCAGGAGTGCCACCTACATAGTAGGTATGTGTGGTGCCACTGAGAGTGGGGTCGTGCTCTGACACCTGCCAGGCATCAGGCTGCCACAGCCCTGGGTGTCAAAGGGGTTAGCTGCCTCCTTTTTCTCGCGTCTTCCGGCTGGACCACATCTCGGCCTGAGTTACCATCTCTGACAGTTCCCCGCCTCATTGGTGGCACTGAGGAGAGGAGGGTCCTGTCTTTGTTCTCTGCTTCTTTTTCTAGGTTACAGAACCTACTGTTGGGGTTTAGGGAAGGGTGCCAAGGTGAAAAGAGCAATAATTCCCTTTGTCTAGATGACCTGGAATCATTTGTTCATGATCCTGCATATAAATTACTGTTTATCTTGTGGGGCTTTATTCAGAATTTTCACAAAAATTATCTCCTCCAAGTGACCCTTTTGAAAATTGCGGTGGAAACTGCCACTATCACCATGGAAACTTAAGTTTTCCCCGAGGGACCGCCTATACTAAATGGATCAGAATTTAGATTTCCTTTAGTGCCTGCATTGCCAGGCTTCTTGAGACAGACATTATCACGAATGCCATTCCAAGCTACCTCAGTTACGCTGTCCTTGGTTAAAAACGTATCTCTTGACAGGACTCAATTCGAGACGTGCACATCAAGGGAATCATGTACAGAGCGATCGAAGCAGATATCGGTACGTGCTCGACATTATGGGGAAGATCATGTCAGCCTTTCCGTTCGCTGTGCGACCATGCAGCCGTTTCACCTTAGTTCCAGGGGCTGAGCCGGGGCCGTGGTGCCTCTTCTGAGGGCACAACAAGGACCTTGCGTCCTTGCATCTCCAGTGTCTCCTCCCCTGTGTCTCAGAACTTGCCATAATCCTGACTCAGAAGGGGAGTAGCTGGCGGCTGCAGCCCCTGAGTTTTTTCCACCTAGACGGAGGAGGCAGGGTCTTGGTTAGTGATGCACTGGGCACCAGTGGACCCCCCTTAACCAAGCTTCCTTAAGGCTTTTCTTCCCCTCAGTGCCCTGGACAGTGCTGGCCCCCTATACCGCACTTCATAAGCGCTTGCAGATCAGCTGACTTCCTGCTGAGTCTGTGTGTGAATTTTTCTCTTGCTCTTAGAAAAATACATCTGCTACGCTGAGCAGACCCGCGCGGTGTTGGCCAAACTGGCGGATCACGGCAAGAAAATGTTCCTCATCACCAACAGCCCCAGCAGCTTTGTGTAAGTGGTTCTGTGTTCCCTGCTGGCTTCCGGCTGACTTCTTGGACTCCCTTTAATGGTTGGAAATTTGAAAGCAAAAGTTGCAAAGATAGTTAACGCCTTTCGTGTTAGACTCACCCAGCTGATGTGTCGTTGCAGGGACAAAGGGATGAGGTACATCGTCGGGAAAGACTGGAGGGACCTGTTCGATGTGGTCATTGTTCAGGCCGAGAAGCCAAACTTCTTTAACGATAAGCGGAGGTGAGTGCATGTCGTTCTGGCGACTGGATTTTATTCATTTGCTGCTATGATAGTGAGGTAGTCTGTCTTGGTGAAATCCGGTTGGGAAATCACAAACATCTGACGTTACAGCTTTTGATTTTTAACCCTTCCAGCTAGTAATTGCAAGGAGAGTAAGGTCAGTACGTAGCAGACAGCTTCCACCGACTGAAGTGGTTCTCACTTCATCTTGGGCTACTCCTGTCCTGAGTCAGACTAGAAGAGAGCAGTTGACAGCAAGGAAGAATCCAAATTTATCATCACGTAGCAAATTAGATCTCCTGAGGCAGGTGCATCGTGAAGCATGACAGAACTGCAGACCACCTGGTGGGTGTCGCTTTAATTACAGCTCTAAATGATGCATTTAAAATTGCAGTTGGATTTTGTAAAACTTCTCTGCAATGCAGGTTTTGCATCAAGTGGAATAAATCTCTGCCGAGACTCACAGGATGTCTTTCTGTCACTGGAGCCTTGGGACATAGAGAAGCAGGGAAGTTTTGGGTTATGACGGTGACTGGGATGGGCTCTTGTATTTAGTGGGTGGCACTCAGGGATCCTAAAATGTGTTTTAACGTGTGGGACAGACCTGTTCACCAAGAGTCGTCCCCCGCCAGTGTCGGTAGTGTTGTGAGTTACTGCACTGGGGTTGTAAAAATAACTCCTATTTGTGTCATAATAGCCTTTTTTTGAAATGCTTTTACTCACATTGATCTTTTCTACAGTTGGTATCCAGGCAGCCTTTTCCTCTCCTGAGTGATTCAAAATATCATAATGCGGCTCCCTGTAGTTAGTGTTGAATAGACTGACTTCCTCTCGTGATGCTGAATCCCCATTTCCCAGGTGTCACAGGGACTCCTGGAAGAACAGACAAACCCAAGAACCACGTGCAGAGACTGAGGATTCGAGAGGATGAGGGAAAAACTAGAGTGTTGATCAAAACCAGCTGTAACTCTGGCTTGCTGCTTTGTCACTGACAGACGCTCTCCCGCATTCTCTTATTAGATTCCAGGGTGTGGTTGGGAGAAGGGCCTTGTCTGTCCTTTGTCCTGTGGATACACAGTGCAGAGCAGTGGCTTGGGGAGGGGTGGTGGAGAGAGTTGGGGGGTGGTGTCCAGCACAACTCTCTTCCTTGCTGCACCCGTTTGTGTTGCCTTTGTTCTGCATGCCTGGAATAGCAGCTGAATAATCCTCCACCCATGTTCATCCCTGTGTTATTTATAATGATCAGGTCAGAACAACCTAATGGAACAACCGTATGAGGGGATATTATGCAGCCATTAAAAATGATATATTTGAGGGCCAGCCCTTGTGGTTAAGGTTAGTGGTTATTGTGGTTAACCAGTTAGTGGTTAAGTTGAGTGTGCTCTGCTTCAGCAGCCTGGGTTCAGTTCCCAGGCATGGACCTACACCACTGGTCAGTGGCCATGTGTGGCAGTATCCCACATAGAAAATATAGGAAGATTTGCCACAGATGTTTGCTCAGGGCAAATCTTCCTCAAGCAAAAAGAGGAGCATTGGTGATGGATGTTAGCTCAGGTCACATCTTCCTCAGCAAAAAAAAAAAGATACATTTGAGAGGCAGGCCCCATGGCCTAGTGGTTGAGTTTGGTGCTCTCTGCTTTGGTGGCCCAGGTTTGGTTCCAGGTGGGGCCAACACCGCTTGTCTGCAGCCGTGCTGTGGCAGCATCCCACATACAAAGTAGAGGAAGACTGGCCCAGGTGTTAGCTCAGGGTCAATCTTCCTCAAGCAAAAAGAGGAAGATGGGCAGTAGATGTTAGGTCAAGGCCAATCTCCCTCTGCAAAAAAACAAAAACAAAAGCAACAGAAAAAGATATATTTGAAAAAAAAGCAGTGAGCATATTTTATGACTGAAAAACGATGTATGAGGAATGTGTAGTCCCATGGGAAATTGCTCACAACATTAGAGAAAAAGTGATATAAATCAGTATACACAGATGACTCTCATTTTATGTTCATAAAAAAGAGAAAGATAACATGTATAAAGACCGAAAGACCATCTGCTGGAATGTTATGTTTATACCTGGGTACTGGAATTATGGGTGACTCGCCTTTTCTTCATTGTATTTTTCTGCATTTTCTGGTTTTTTTGCAGTGAGATAATATTTTTCTAGTCGGAAAAACAATCCAAATAAGTGTTACTTTAAGAAAAAAAAAGACAGACAAGCTCTGTGTCCTTCAGACGAGCACCGCAGGACAAGGAATGAGGCCTTGTTCTTATTTCCCATGTTCCATCACAAAATAGTAGTCCTGGTGCTCTGATTTGTTTTATGTCTAGAGTGGCTGAATTTTGAGTACAAAGCAGAGTAAGTGGACTGAGGCAGTATTTCCATAAGCTTTTCTTGTGAAACAGATTTTCTGCACGGTCAGATAAATTTAGGAAATCTGGGTTCAAGGGAGTTTCTGTACAGAAGGGCTTTTCAGAGCCCTCAGTGACTTTTAAGAGGGGCATATATAGTGCATAGTGTCTTCCAAGTTATGCTTCACCCTCGAGTTCTTTTTTCACGAGTTGCCTTAGGACACCGGGGTCCGTGGTTTGGGATGTGTGGCGCCAGGCGAGGGGATGTGGGGGTGGAGTTTTGGTTTCGGGGCCTTTGCAGGTTCATGGAGCTCCCCTCTGTTCCCAGCGGGTAACCGTGTAGTATTTCATCCAGCAGACAGCCTGCACCACTGCCACACGTGCTAACGTTCCCCGTCTCTGTTTCAGACCTTTCCGGAAGGTGAATGAGAAAGGTGTCTTGCTCTGGGATAAAATCCACAAGTTGCAGAAAGGCCAGATTTACAAGCAGGTATCTCAAGACCAACTTAGCCTTTTCATTGCTTTGCTTTGTGGTCAGTTTCAGCGAGAACAGCTAACATTTGTTGAGGCTCAGTGTGGGCCAGGCACCGGTGAGTGCTCTGCTCAAACTGACTGTTTATGACTTGGTGGCAGAATTTAAGCTTAAGGCAATGTAGTTTCAATGTGCTATCTCTAAATTAACTCAGAGTTGAGGAATTTTTTAAAACAAAATTTAAAGCATTATGTTCATAGTATGTAAAATTTAAGATGCCAGTAGTAAACCTTGGAAATTTCTCTGTAAGAAGCATTTAATCACATGGCATATTATCCAAATTAGTAATTATTTCCTGATGAGCTTTTTTTAATGTATACTTTTAATATATTTTTTATCATATAAAACTCAGATATTTGAATAAATGATTGAATTCCTGACCGTTATTGTTACTAAAGTTAGTCTTTTTAATCTCATCCTTTAAAATTTTTTACATTTGTGTAATATTTGTAACACATAAAATTATAAAATAGTAGTATACAGTTTTTAAAAAAATACTGATACATTCATAGTGGAATATAATAAACTGCTGGATTTGGGACTGAGTATATTTTCTAGGCCTTGAAAGATTAGCTTTGATACAGCCATTCCACTTCTTGGAGGTTAGCCTAAGAAAATTATTAAGATGTAGCTGAAAGTTTGCTACAAGAATGTTTATGGGCTGGCCCGGTGGTGCAGTGGTTAAGTTTGCACATTCTGCTTCAGCAGCCTGGGGTTTGCCGGTTCGGATCCTGGGTGCAGACCTATGCACCACTTGTCAAGCCATGCTGTGACAGGCATCCCACATAAAAAGTAGAGGAAGATGGGCATGGATGTTAGCTCAGGGCCAGTCTTCCTCAAAAAAAAAAATAATAAGGGCTGGCCCCATGGCTGAGTGGTTAAGTTCGTGCGCTCTGCTTCGGTGGCCCAGGGTTTCGCCAGTTCAAATCCTGGGCGCGGACATGGCACCACTCATCAAGCCATGCTGAGGCGGCATCCCACATGCAATAACTAGAAGGACCCACAACTAAAAATAGACAACTGTGTACCAGGGGGCTTTGGGGAGAAAAAGGAAAACTAAAATCTTTTAAAAAAATAAAAAGAAATTAAAAAAAGAATGTTTATCATGAAGTTAGTTACAGAATAGATAACAAGGTAAATGTCCAACCACTATCATGGAATTGGTAAAATGAATCGTGGTACTTCTCAATTACTGAAATTACACGACAGATTAATATTTATTGACATGGTCACAGAATGTTAAGTGTAAAAACATCATTACAAAGAGGTATGTACCATATGAAACCTTTTTGGAAAGTACATTTGACTTTTGAAGAAAGGTCTGAAAGATTTCACGGCAAGGTATTTTTATCTTTATAGTTTGATATTTAAAATAAATTTATAAAAGCAAAAAATTTTTAAGCTTTACAAAGTGTATGTTTTGGGCATGGGTTATACAGGGCTCTATCTGTCATGATATAATGGCCCTGTTTTTCTGTTATTGCAGGGCAATTTGTATGAGTTTTTGAAGCTTACTGGATGGAGGGGATCCAAAGTGTTGTATTTTGGTGACCACATCTACAGTGACCTGGCGGTGAGGACCTTTTGTCCTGTTTCTTTTTTGGGGGACAGATGTGTTAATCCCATTTATTAGGGGATTTCTCTTTTGTTTAAGATCATTTTTATGCTTTCATAAAACCCAGGAGTAGGCCACATTTTTTTTATGTCTCATTTTTTATAAAACAGGATGGATCGGAGACACGAGAAGGATGATTTTCTTTGGAAATGATGGAAATTAGCAATTTATTCAGAATTTATGAGAAAAATCTTTCCATTTAAGTAATGGTAAGAAATCAATGCCAGTGTTCTTTCCTTTTCCTCTTATTATTAAGCATCAGAAACCTACAAATGGAACATAAAATCTCATAAACATCAGTCAGGGCTGCTTTTGCCAGCCAGTCACTTGGAAAGGATACAAAACTGGCATTTCCAGGAAACGGCTGTTATGTGAAAATGAGGCTTTTCATGCCCCTTGCAATGGCCAGAGGAGTGTCACAGGACCTGACTTCTGATTTAATCTATAACTGGGGCAAGATTGAGTCAGTCATCTTTATTACCATTCTTAGTTCCTTGTAGAATGAATTGATCTTTGAGTGCCCCTGGGTTAAGGTAGGCTGCACAGTGTCCATCTGTAAAGTCAGAATGAAGCTCAGTGTCAGGGGGTAACCAGGGCAGGTCATGGCTGGCTGTCAAACTCCATTATTGATATTTCTGAATATTTTGGCCCACACTGGATTGGCTTCATGTCTCTGTCCCTCTTGTGTCTGCCTGCTGTTGAAGCAGTGGGCTTTAGTGGGCTGTGCGGTAGGACCGTTTGGGGAGTGTTTTCAGAGTGCAGTGCCTGAGCCCCGCCGAGGTCTGTGCACTCAGACTGGTGGGGGGCTGGGGGCCGAGGGGTTGAGTCCAGCACTTGTGTGGGGTGACGCTCTCCCAGGTGATTCCAGCACACACCGTGCAATATCACATCTGTCCAGTGGGCTGAGGTCTAATGGAAGGAATCATGGACTCAGAATTAGAAGGCTGAGGTTTTCATCCCAACTCTCCTCTTTATTAGCTGGGTGACCCTGGGCACATCCATCAAGCCCGGGTGTCCTCAGAAGAGTGAAATAAGATAATGTGCATAAAGTGCTTAGTAAAGTAGAAATATAAAGTGCTACCGTCAGGCTGTTGGCATTCCCACAAAGTCTGGCCAAGCGATGTGGCATCATGGGCATTTGCCTCTTGCCAGGTGGGGTCTTTGGGGCTGATGAGATAATTAACTAGATGCTACACTTGAGGCACGTGGCTGCATGGCCCTGTGAGGTGACGCAGACATATGGGTCTTAGCATTATGAGAGGTGCTCACAAAGCAGTAGTTCAAGTGTGGTCCCCACAACGTCAGCATCACCTGGGAACTTGTTGGAGATGCAAATTCTGAGGTCTCACTCCAGACCTACTGAGTCAGAAACTCGGTTTTAAGCAGCTTTCCACACTAAAATTTGATACCAGGGTAAAGCTGGCCTCATCGGATGAATTAGGAAGTGTTCCTGCCTCTTCAGTTTTTGGGAAGAGTTAGAGAAGGATTGGTGTTAATTCTTGATGTGTTTGGTAGAATTCACCACTGAAGCCGTCTGGCCTGGGCTTGTCATTGTTGGAAGCTTTTTGGTTACTAATTCAGTCTCCTTACTAGAGGTCTATTCAGATTTTCTATTTCTTCATGATTCAGTCTTGGTATGCTGCTTGTTCCTGGGAATTTGTCCAGTTCATCCAAGGTTATCCAAGTTGTTGGCGTACAATAGTTTATAGTACTCTTTTATGATCTTTTTGATTTCTGTAGAATTGGTAGTCACGTCACCACTTACATTTCTGATTTTAGTAATTTGAGTCTTCTCTCTTTTTTTCTCTTAGTCAAGCTAAAGGTTTGTCAATTTTGTTGATCTTTTCCAAGAACCAACTCTTGGTTTTGTTGATTTTTCTCTATTATTTTTCTACTTTCTATTTATCTCTGTTCTAATCTTTATTATTTCCTTTGACCTGCTAGCTTTCAGTTTAGTTTGTTTTTTTTCTAGTTCCTTAAGGTGTAGAGTTGCATTGTTGATTTGAGACCTTTCTTCTTTTTTAATGTCAATGTATGTAGATATACATTTCCCTCTTAGTATGCTTTTGTCAGCCAGCCCTGGTGTCTAGTAGTTAAGATTCAGCGCTCTCACACTCACAGCCCAGGTTCGTTTCCCAGTCAGGGAACCACGCTACCCGTCTGTTGGTTGTCGTCCTGTGGCGGCTGCGTATTGCTCAAAGTTATGCCACTAGTATTTCAAATACCAGCAGATTCACCCACAGTGGACAGGTTTCAGAGGAGCTTCTTCTGAAGAAGGACCTGGCCACTCACTTCTCAGAAAAAGTTGGCCGTGAAAACCCTATGAATAGCAGCAGAGCATTGTCTGACATAGCACCGGAAAGTGAGAGGATGGAGCAAAAAGACCTGGCAGGGTTCCGCTCTGCTGTATCTGGGGGCGCTGGGAGTCAGAATCAGCTTGATGGTACTAACAAACTGCTTTTCTTGCATCCCATAGGTTTTGGTATGTTGTGTTTGCATTTTAATTTGTCTCAGGATATTTTCTAATTTCCCTTGTGATTTCTGCTTTGACCCATTAGTTGTTTAAGGGTATGTTGTTTAATTTCTAAATATTTGTGAATTTTTCAGTTTTTCCTTCCGCTGTTGATTTTTAGTTTCATTCCCTGGGATCAGAAAAGAAATTTTTTGTGCTTTCAGTTTTTAAAAGTTTATTCAGACTTGTTTTGTGGCTTATATACATATGGCCTATCCTGGAGGATGTTCCATGTGCACTTGAGAATGTCTATTCTGCTTTTGATGGGTGGAAAGTTCTGTATATGTCTGCTAGGTCCACTTGGTCTTAATATTGTTCAAGTCCTATATTTCTTGATTGATCCTCTGTCTGGTTGGTGGTTTTATCCAATGTAGAAAGTGGCTGTTGAAGTCTCCTACTATTATTATAGAACCATCTATTGCTCCCTTCAGTTCTATTACTGATTGCTTCATATGTTTTGGAGCTCTGATGTTTGGTGCGTACATGCTTATATTTGTTATATATTCTTGATGAATTGACCCTTTTATCATTATATAATGTCATTCTTTGTGTCTTGTAACAGTTTTTGACTTCAAGTCTACTTTGTTTAATGTAGCACAGCAACCCCTGTTCTCTGTTGGTTACTATTTGCATGGAATATCTTTTTGCATCCTTTCACTTTGAACCTGGGTGTGTCCTGACATCTAAAATGAGTCTCTTGTAGACAGCATGTAGTTGGATCCCCTTCTGAAGTTTGAAAACTGCTGTCATAAAGTGATAAGACCATTCATTAACTAGCATGTCAGAAATTACCTGGGCAGTGACCATTGTCCTTCACAGGAGGCACCTTGGGAATGTCGGTACTTCCAGTGTTGCTGCTCTTTCTCAAAGTACATTTGGATGCCCCCTTTGTGTTGGATTCGAGAGCCAGTTTGAGGCATAGGAGAAAATTAGTTTTATTATTATTAGTTTATCATCATCATGTATGTTAGTCTTAGGAATTTTCCAAGTGACTTTTTATCTATTTTCAGAAATAGAATCCACCTTCAAAAGTTTGTCACCATTGGGAATATTTAAAAGAACGTGCTGTAGGTTTTCATGTATTGTAGGAGAAAGAAATATTGAAAAGTTTGAAGAAATTCAACCAGTGCGGAAGTTAGGCATCCTTAGGGCTTACAGAGCAGGGATTCTAGCTTTAGGTGAGTAGCCAGAGTGAACTTTTAAAATTGTAAACCATATACCACTTCTCTCCTTAAAATCCCAAAGCTTTCCTTTCTTCCTCAGAGTAAAAGCCTGATTTCCTACAGTTGCTCAGAAAGCCCTGCTTCACCTCTCCTTCCCCAGCCTACCTCTCTGACAGCACCTCCTGCCTCTGCCCTCTCTCCTACTCTGCTCCAGGCTCCCTGCTGCTCCTTAACATCCCCTGCCCCTAGCATGTTCCTGCCCCAGGGCCTTTGCACTTGCTGTTTTTTAGCCAGAATTTTTCTCCTCTCACATATTTGCATACTTTCACTCTCCTTCCCTTCAGATCTCTGCTCAAATGTCTCTTTATCAGCTAGTCTTCCTAACTACTCTGTATAAAATGGTAACTCCTGTCTCTCTTATTCTGCTTGATTTTTGTCCGTTGCATTTATCACCACCTGCCTTTGTGATTTACTTGCTTATTTTTTGTCTGTATTTCCCACGAGGGCAGAGATTTGTCAGTTTTTGTTCATTCCAGAACAGAGCCTGGCAAATAGTACTATTTGATAAATATTTGCCAAATGAGAAAATGAATGACCGTTTAGTATGGTGATTGTCTATCTTAGACTTTCCAGGACATAACTGATATCAGATATTCTGGCCTATTGTCAAATCATGGGGTTACAATATTTGGAATGAAAAATGTGATCGTGTCTGTTTATATTGTGTGGTCATTCCAAGTCTGAGACTCCAGGGTCCCCGTAACCCACAAGGCCAGTCACAGCGGCTGCTCCCTGGCCGTCTGGGGGGAATTGAATGAAGCCCCTCACTAGCTTTTGGTTGAGCCTCTTCCTGTCCCCGACCTAACTGTTTTGCAGACCATGGTTGGTGACTCCAGACCTGTGTTTCTGCAGAGGCCGTCATTCACAGCGATTGTTTCCATGATGGAAACTTCTTGGGGGTGAAACTGTCAACGCCTGGGACTAAACTGGTTTTCCTTAAGTGTAATTCGTTGAATTTGGCTTGGTTAATAACTAACCATTACAATTAAAAAGCAGTTCAGCGAATGCCTGTTGCGTCTGGGAGAGGTGGTGAAATGGTTTAAATTCTGTTGAAATTAACGTGGACTTTTTGTGATCTTTCCTCTCAGGATTTGACCCTGAAGCATGGCTGGCGAACTGGGGCAATTATCCCAGAATTAAGATCTGAGCTCAGAATCATGAACACGGAGCAGTACGTCCAGACCATGACCTGGCTGCAGACCCTGACCGGCCTGTTAGAGCAGATGCAGGTACGTCCAGACCATGACCTGGCTGCAGACCCTGACTGGCTTGTTAGAGCAGATGCAGGTACGTCCAGACCATGACCTGGCTGCAGACCCTGACCGGCCTGTTAGAGCAGATGCAGGTACGTCCAGACCATGACCTGGCTGCAGACCGTGACCGGCCTGTTAGAGCAGATGCAGGTACGTCCAGACCATGACCTGGCTGCAGACCCTGACCGGCCTGTTAGAGCAGATGCAGGTACGTCCAGACCATGACCTGGCTGCAGACCCTGACCGGCTTGTTAGAGCAGATGCAGGTTTGGGACTTTTCCTCTCCTACTTTTTCTTTAGGCCTGAAGTTAGTCCACCATTCATAGTAATTTCAAATATTCTCCCTTTAATTGTGGTTATAAGGAATGGGGCTTAAGTCATCCTCAGTAAACGGCAGAGTTAACTACTGGGGTTATTTTGCCCCTAAGAGACTTTTGCCAATTTTCCTGACGAGACCTTTAAAAAGGCCTCCAAAAGCCATTGGAGGAAGAGCTTTGTAGGGCCTGTGGAGACGCAGGTGTTGACGTTCCTCCGTCAGTGGAAATCCTGTGTCCGTCCTTCCGCCTTAGAGTCCGGCAGGGAGATATCCTGTGGGGGAGTGGGATTCGAGAGTGTCTCCCAATGTTTGGGTCTGGTCCTGCTTCTGCCTTCAGCCTGCTGTGGACCGCTCCATTCTGGGCCTCAGTTTCCCCATCTGTAAGATGAAGGGTCCTATGGAATGGACACTTCAGTGTAGGCACCACGGCTTATTGGAGGGAGTCTCAGAGGAAGGGTCAAGATCCCTGCCTGCAGCCTCCCTTTGATTTTGGGGGTAATGCCCGCAGTTGGCCGGCTCCCTGGAGTGCAGTGGCAGTGTTTTCTTTCTGTAAGTTACGTGGCCGGTTTTGGACAGCCAGTGAGGAGTGTTGTTTTTGGCTGTGATTTCCCGGCCCGTGGACGCCGCCCTGCTGTGCGGCGGTGTCCCCCTGCCCCGTCTCCTGGGACAGCTTGCTTTCTCGCTTCGTTCAGCTGGCCCGGCCTGCAGCCATCTCATGTGAGTGCCCACTTGGGATAAGGGTCCTGGATGCCCGCTCTCTTGGCTGACAAACCTGCTGCCCACGGCCTGCTGCCGCTTTGGGAGCGGCTGGGGAACGGCCTTGCCTGGCCCAGCTGGCGCTCGTGTGGAGGCAGCTGGCAGTGAGCTCAGGCTGAGCTGCGAGGAGTGGCAGGCCGGGGCCTCACCCCGGGGTGCACATTCCTGAGCGTGGGGCCCTGCACGTCCCCCGGGCCTTGCTCCCAGTGTGCTCTGGCTGTGTTGGCTCTTGGCTCGTCTCTGACGAGGCCTTGTTCTGTTTCTCTTACTATACTTGTCCGTGAGATAACATTCTAAAAATAAAAGGCGTCCATTCTGGGTTTGAGTAGCTTCGAGTCTGTGCCTAGGTCATACCGTAATCACAGTTACTCTTTATATGCCAGCATTGTGCTGAGTCCCTGCTCTACACACAGCATTCATTTAACAGTCACAGCTGTCCTGTGCAGGTAGGTACAATGTTTCCACTCTAGAATAAAGAAACTGGTGTTTGAGAAGTTGGGTAACATGTCCAAGGTCATAAAATGACAAAGCAAGAACTGGAACCTAGGCTTGTGTGGTCACCGAGTGTCTTGAGCGTGCTACATGCAGTGCTGCCCTGCTGCCTGGTTTCGAGGTCTCGGGGGCAGCCAGAGCCTTCTTTCCTTGGGCACAGTCTCTCTGTGCTGCTGGCAGCGGGGCCAAGACACAGCCCGACCCCCATGTGGATGGTGTCACTACCTGTTAGCTTTGAGGTCGAAGTTTTTGGTTTTCGTCTCTCTGACCTACATAGAAAGTTCAGCGATTAAGGAGTGTGTGTTTTAGAGAATGGAAGTACAGAAAATATCTCTGATTTATAGAATTAATTATACAAGGAGTAAGGAAGAAAAGGGAATTAACATTTACATTGCCACCCCATTTCACAGGAGGAGAAACTGAGGCTGAGAGATCAGGAACTTTTCCAGAATCCCGGAGTTAGTGAACAGCAGCATCAGGCAATTCAGAAATGAGAACTTGCCGTGTTGCAGACGCTAAGGGCTTTCCTTCATTTCGTCCTCGTGGCAGCTCTTCGAAGGAGGCACTGACATCATCCCCATTTCACAGATGCAGAACCTGAGGGCAGACGAGACAGTGAGCTTCTCAAGTCGGGGCGATGCTGGGACTCGGGCCCAGGCCCCCGGCTCTCGAGTCTTCACGTCCGTGCTGTCGCCTCGGGTGCTAACACTTTTTACAGCGTTCTGTCCAGTTGGATTCACTAGGATATAGAGGAGTGTGACCGATAACTTAAAGTATCCAGATGACTGTCATTTCTCACATCCTCCCTGTCCGCCTCCTCCACACCCCTGTCACTCCGGTTCACCTGGAAAGCTAGAAATTATTCCAGGGATCCTGTTTTGAATGTGTCTAGAACTCCCCTTTGGGGCTTATTTTGAGAGCATATAGCTCATCATGTGGACTGTTTTCTGAGGAGAAAAATTTGTCCTCAGAGGTTGGGTTGGATTTTCTTTGGAGCCAGCAGAGTGTCATTGGAGCCAAGGCTGATGAATTAAATAGAGGTATATAATTTTCGGGTTTAGGAAAGTAGCTATAAAGAATAGTCTAGTTTACTAGCCATGAAGTGTGCTCCAAACTGGGTGTGGTTGACAGTGGCAGTGCTGGTTAACAGCAAACTTCTGCACAGGCCCAGAGTCAGCACGGTAGGCTGGGCGGGCCGTATGGTCTCTGTGGCGACCGCTCAGCTCTGTGGTTGTAGCTCGTAAGCAGCCACAGACAGTATGGAAGCTGCTGGTTGTGGCTGGGTCCCAGTAACTTCATTCGTGGAAATGATTCATATCATTTTCACATGTCATGAAATTATTCTTTTGATTTTGTTTTCAACTGCTTAAAAAGGAAAATCCGTTCCTAAGCTCAGAGGCTGATAGAAAAATGGGCGGTGGCTGGATGTGGCCTCCCTGGTATGGGCTGCTGTGCCGGCGAGGCTGTAATCCCCAGCCCGCATGGGGCTGGCAGGGCCAGTGTGTGCAGCCAGTCTGCGTGTTTGTAGACTGTCGCCGTGAGGAGCCATGTGTGCTGATCAACGACTGGGGCTAAAGGTGGCTGAAGTGTCTGTAGGATTAGCCTCTGCTGTGGGCTTCCGGTTAGTCTTTGTGAGGCCGAGTACCCTTCCTGGAGTGCTTGATTTCAGTTAAAGATTAATCCAAACTAAGTAACACACCGTCTTGGAAGTATTTTAAAGTAGACGCCTGAGACTGTTGTTTTCTGAAGTTTGGCCTCGTAGGAGGAGCAGAGCTGGAGAACGGGGTGGTTCAGGGAAAAATACATGTTTTTTAATGGCAGAGACTTGAGCATGTTTAAATGTTGATGGGAAGGTTCCAGATGAGGAGGTTGATCGTATGGGAGAGATGAATGATGGAGAGAGGTTCTGGGAAGGGAGCCAAGGCCAGTGCTGAGTGGGCCTCGGATGGGAGGGCCCGAGGGGGCGCTGGGTTAAGGTGCGCACCCACAGAGCTCAGCTCTCTGTTCTGGCCCTGCTCCCTGGTCTCAGGGCTCTGGGGCCTCCCCCTTTGCATGTCTCTTTAGCAACCTTGGACTCCGTCATCCTTGGCTGCCCTCTGAGTTCGGGACCAGTAGAGAAACAGGCAGGTGTCGGAGTGGGGCTGACATGATATCTGCTCCATCACTGGAAAAGCCTTGAACTCGGAGAGCCCAGAGTTGGCTCTTTGTGTCTGCAGAGCCTGCCCTGGGGCCCACTTGAGGGGCAGGAATGGAGTGAGAATTCCCTTGGCCTGTGGCAGCTAGTTTCAAACAAGAGAGAGCAAGTAGATTACCTTTGGTAATCTTTATCCTGGTCACCAGTCCCAATTCTCCCCTCCTGCAAATGTGGGGCGGAGTAAGGGACCACAAGCTTCTCCTTCATACGGGACACATGTGCCTTGTTCCTGGGCCAAGAAGGGTAGAAGGGCAGAGGTGGGAGCGGAGCTCCTCTCACAGACTGAAGTCAGCCTCATTCTCTGAGTTACGTTGTTTTGTCATGGTCTGCTTACCTGTTTACAGGGCCAACCATCATGTCCTCTGTTGTATCTTTAGCATCTAGCACAATGTGCGGCACATAGTAGGTGCTAAATGTATAAGTGTGTGTGTGTATATTGTGTATATGCATATGTATATATGTGTGCATGCATATGTATATACATGTGTATGTGCACATATGTGTGTATATGTGTATGTATGTGTATATGTGTGTGTATATACATAAATAAATTCCTGTGGCATCCTACAGATTTTTGATCCGGTCACATACTTTGTAGTGCCTAAATTCTGTAGCGAGTGATTTGTTGATTTAAAATGTGACAGCTAACTAGAACTAGGCTCACAGACCCTGCATCAGCACCCCGAGGAGAGCTGGGCCGGTCTTCTGGTGCTCCAGTAACGCACAGGCAGTGCTCCTTCGGTGGTGGCTGCCTCCTGGTGGTGTAGGCAGTGGTGTTGGGCGAGAAACCCCAGTTATAAGCTCAGTGATGCGGGGTTTTGTCTGAGTGACAGAGGCCCTTAGCAGGTGACGGTGAGTGGGCTGTTGAGCTGGGCAGGTGTGGTGAACAGCTGGGCCTGGGCTCCCACATCGAAAGCAGATGGTTTGCTTGCGTGGAGTTCTCCTCCGGCTGTCCGGCTGCCCGGGAGTTGCAGGGAGCCGCACCTGTGCCCTGTGCTCATGTCGCCTCTCGCTCTGGCCGGCGTGATTCTCTTCAGCTTCGAGGGCCTCGGAGAGAGACTTGGGAGATGCCATGTGTCAGGCTGTGGGCTGCTGTCATTTTCTTTTTGCCTTTTGCTCACATTCAGCCCAACCGGAAAATTCTTTGCTTTTCCATCTAGTTGAGGTGCTCTCCCTTTTTGCCTTTTATAAAAAACAATTATTTTTTTCTCTTAAATGCTTTAAAGGTAACATATTCAGGGAAAAAAGTTAAGATCAGTTGTAATCCTACTACCCTTGCACAAATTAAAGAAAAATTCCCATGTTAATTTCCAAACATATGCACATATTTTGATATGCTTGCAATCAGTTTGCAATTAGGATGTGCTGTTATACCTGCTATTTTTGCTTAACTGCTGTTTTTATGTTTATACCTGTACAGATATGCGTACTAGGTAGTGTGTTTTAAGACTGTTTATATATGTAATACTTATGTATAATGGATACATTACACATATACATTATGCACATATATTTCCTGTGGATACATATGTATTATGTTTATACAATAGCATTTAATAATGCTTAATATCTCTAGTTTAATATGGGCCTTGTTTAATAGCTTCATAACATTCCATCTTAATTTGTTAAACCACGTTTCTGATGTTGGACATTTAAACTGTTTTGGTGAAGAAGGGAGGATTGCACTGGGAAGTCTGAAAATATATTGTGTCATCCAAGTGCCTACCTCTTAGACCTGAATAAAATTCCTCCAAAAAAAGGTGCCCATTGGGGCCGGCCCCGTGGCCGAGTGGTTAAGTTCGTGCGCTCTGCTTCTGCGGCCCAGAGTTTTGCTGGTTCCGATCCTGGGCGTGGACATGGCACCACTCGTCAGGCCACGCTGAGGCGGGGTCCTGCGTAGCACAACCAGAGGCACTCACAACCAGGATATACAACTCTATACTGGGGGGCTTTGGGGAGAAGAAAAAAAAAGAAGATTGGCAATAGATGTTAGCTCAGGTGCCAATCTTTAAAAAAAAAAAGAAGAAGAAAAGTTGCCCGTTAAAAATCCTCGTTACCTAATGGATCTATTCACAGCCAGAACAGTCTCCATGATAGCTTCTGTCCTGCAGGTTCACAGAGATGCCGAGTCACAGCTGGTTTTGCAGGAGTGGAAAAAGGAAAGAAAGGAGATGAGGTAAGAGCCGCCTGTTTCGAATGCAGTGAATCCGCCACCTGTCTGCCTGTGCTGGGTCCACCCACCTTCCCAGGGCTGGCCCGAGGCATGCTTCGAAACATCCTTTTCTAGCTTGCAGGCTTCTTATTACCAAGAACCTGCCATCTGCTGTGAGTGGTGTGTGACATTTCCTTGAGGCAGCGGTGAGCTCCGTGGCCCCTCCTGCCCTTGCCTTTGAAGACCACCGTTGAAGGAGCTTTCCCCTCCCATCCCTCCTCCCTGCCTGCTTGACTTTCCCATTTGGGCAGCTGGTGGCCGGTTGTTGGTAATGCTGGCCGCACCGTGTGGCTGCTGGGACAGCATGCGAGGTGGGCTCTGACCCACAATGAATTCTTGGGCTGCTACAATCTGCGTGCTTATTTGTACCCATGGCTATTTCAGGAGTATGTGCACACTCAGTCTCAGAGTGTTTATTGGTGAAGAAAGCCCACCTGCTGTCAGAGAAGTTTGGTGGGTTTGCCTCTAAAGGAAATGGTTGTTCAAAAGAGGCCTCGTGGACAGTCGTGCTTCCCTAAGAGGATGCTCTGTATGTGGACCGTTTCCCTGACCATTTCTACTCTTGTGCCTGGCCCCGTCTCCCCTGGGCACAGCTGTCTCGGTTTGGAAGGTTTGGAAGAAGCTGTCACTGCCTGGGTCTGGCCTCTGAGCAGTGGGCAGTCTGGTTTGGGGGTGGGTGTGGAGAGGGGGCAGACTCCACCCCTCGGGGCTGCAGAAGCCCCAGCCATGTTGAATCATCCTTCCTCCTCCGTCTCAGGGGTTGCTGTTGGGGGCCTTTTCTAACTTGATTATTATTCTAACATTGGTGTAAAAATGTCAGGTGAGAGGCTGATGGGAAGAAGCTGTATAATGTGATTTGACTCCGTGCCTCACGCCCCAGCTGGCTGGACCTGTGTCCTGCACTCCGGGGACCTCAGATTATTAGATGAAGGAGCCATTTCACCCGCCAGAGGTTTTGTTTTGGATGCTAGTCTTGAGCAACCACCTAGCTCAATGAGATTTTTCACTCAAAGTTTAAAAACCATTTATGCTGCTCCACCCACCAAGCTAATTGAGTTCTTTTAATTTCCTATGTTTTTATTATCACAGCATCTCCTGTCACCTTATAACGACAGACTACTACCAACTAGTGGCTTTTCTCAGTCGTGTAAATGATTACATTTTCTGCTGTGTTTGTAACTCATTTATTAACAGTCAAGTGGTGTTTATCCATTTCGTTGGAATATTCTGTGTGTAGGGGTCCCAGCCATCGGATGGTGTGCATTGATTTATACACAGATGTGCACACGCACGCCTGCAGGGGCTTAGGGCCTGGGGTGGGGTGAACAGCCTTGCAAAGCGCTTGTAACCTAGGCTGCGAGGAGGAAGCGAGGTGTTTGAAGCTGTCTAATGGATGGTGGTGAATTATTTACATCACTATAAAATCGTCCTTAATTTCTCAGACACAAAACTACTTTATAGATTACAATAGGCTTTTATTTCTCTTACCTTAGTTCTCACTCTGACCTTATAAAAAGGGGGTCTTGATCCCGTTCTGTCAATGAGGGAGACTGAGAGCATTCTGCATCTCTCTGTACCTTCAGAAGCAGCTCCTGCCTCCTGTGTTTTGTTTGGAAAATGTGGTGTGCGTATTTAGAGGGCATACACATTGAAACTGGAGCCTTAAACAGTGTTCTCTCCGTCTGGCCTTAGTGGGAAAAGTGATCAGAGCTGTTTTGATGGACGGATGGACAGACTGTTTTCCTGATTAGAAGCCGGGGCTGCTCTAGGCTAATTTTCCTCTTAAATGAGTCCTATAAAAATGAAGAAGTCATTTTGATTTCGGTAACTTAAAAACAAATCTTTTTTGAATCATTCTCTGTTGCTTTCCTCTTTTCTTGCTTCTTCAGAGAAATGACCAAAAGTTTCTTCAATGCCCAGTTTGGAAGCTTGTTCCGCACAGACCAGAACCCGACCTACTTCCTGAGGCGCCTGTCGCGATTTGCCGACATCTACATGGCGTCTCTGAGCTGCCTCTTGAACTACGATGTCAACCACACATTCTACCCCAGGAGGACTCCCCTGCAGCACGAACTTCCCGCGTGGTCTGAGAGGCCCCCCACCTTCAGACTCCCCCTCCTGCAGGAGGCCCAGGCCAAGTAACCAGGTGCCCACCTGTGGAAAAAGCCAGAAACAGCGACGGCTCCAGACTGGGCGGACGTGACAGGGTTGACTTTGTGTGGCTATGGGTGTTGCTTCGGAAAAGACACAGATATGCCTTTTGATATTTATTTTGTATGTATGGAGACTACTCCCCAGGCGGTTAAGACAGAAGCCAGCAGCCCAGGTCCCGCCTTCCTGTACCTGTGGGGCTGAAGGGCAAGCTTCACCTTGAAACTCTCTGACCGGCCTTCTTGTTTACTATGGTACTGTGACTGGCGTCAGTTTTTCTGGAATGGGTGAGACTTCTCGATGCCGTGTCTGTATTCCAGCAGGTGACGTTTTGCTTGACTCTTCAGTGGAAAATGTACTGAACGTTCACAGGCCGTGCACTGGCAACTGCAGGGCCACAAGGACGTGCAGTGATAAACTGCGCGCAGAAAGCTTATGATTTAGTGAGCTCCACAATAGCAGAACGCGACATTCGGTAGCAGAGATGATCCCCAAACAGCAGTGTCCCCCAGATCGCTCTGCCCGAGGGCTTTGGCATCATTCTGGTGCCTCCCTTGAGAGGAGACAGCCTCCCTGGAAAGTCTCACGTGAGAAAGAACGAGAGATGCTGCAGGTCCTTGTCCCTGGATCGTCCTCAGTATCCACTTCCTGTGTCCTACCCCACCCCGGGGAAGGACAAATGGTGCCCATAGTGATGGGCGGGTTCGCTCTCTTCCCCAGAGAAGGAGGGTGAGGAGAGATGAGTTCTGGTTAAATTTCCAGCTAGCAGAACAGACACTGTAGAACAGGGCTGCGAGAAACGAGTGGATCAGAAGAGCAACGCGTTTGTGGTGGGTCTCCCAGGAGCTTCTTACAGCTGAAAAGGCCACGCGTGTTGGTTTAATGTGCTCATTAGAGGAGAGAAAATGAACCAGAAAAAAATTGTCCTTGTAATGAAATGCCTCAGCCATGACCCCCACTGGGTTCTGCTGGAATCTTGTTAGAACACATGCACGGCACACCAGAAACCCTCCTGGTCTGGAGGGCAGCCACAGCTGCCTGCCTCTCTCGTGGATATCAGCCGAGGAGAGGGGCTTGAATTCAGCGGGGGGCGGGGCCCCACTGCTTAGCCATCTCCCTCCCTCTCCTCCCCTTCAATTTCTTCAATTTCTTCGCTGTCGTGTTTGTGCTATTTTGGGAGTTTGGATGCTTTTCTTCAGGTGTCTGTGTTTAAGGTGGGAGAGGATAAAGGGCCTTGAAAATAAGAGAAAAAGAGTTGGAAATGACCCAGCTGTTTCTCATTTCTTTCTAAGGACAATGCAAGTGACACATATCTTCAAACCTAAAAGATGGCAGATACAGGAACGGGGCTGTGTGGAGTGCCTGCTTATTCAGCATTGTTAATGTATAGATGTATCAGAGGCAGCTGTTGATGAAACGCTAGCCCGGCATTCCATAGGCCTCCTTCCAGAATGTACCAATTCAGCGAGTAAGTTAAATAGCATGCTCTGTGATGCCGCTTGTTATAATGGCATTTTACTTGTGATGTTTTCTTGTATTTAACTCTTAATAGTGAAGGTGACCTTTTAGACCCCATAGACCCAACCAGGCCCCCTTTTGTTCTTCTCAATTTTATTATGAACACAGTGGTTCGTTCCTTGTTCGGAATGGGGTGAGCATTTTGTTGGCTGTGTTAGCTCCTAGGTGTTTGAAGCATCAAAGGGTATTGGAGACTGGCATTTACGGGGTGCAGGTGGATGCCCAGCACTGCTCTATGCTGGGGTCCTCCAAGGACACGCCACTGCTTTTGTCCTATAGTTTCTGCTTTGGAGAAGCCGACTGAGGAAGTGGGTATTTTTAAAAAAATTTCTTAGTTTTTATCCACTCAGATATTCATTGGATATCTCCTAGGTGCCAGTTACAAAGTGTTTTGTTTACTTAAGAATGAAGTGAACTCTTTTTAAAACCTGCTTTCTTTATGGGTAGGTTAGGTGATCTAAGCCTTTGGGGAGAAATACATTTTCTGGGTATGAATAATGAATTTTATGATTTATTACCAATTAAAGTTTCAGTCTCTGGGCCCCTGAACATGGTGGTGGTATTGAGAGCTGCCATGGGGCAGAAGCCTGGCATTGGTCTCAGCAGGGCCCACCGGGCGTGCGCCTGGCGGACTGCAACCCCATGCCGGGGCCTGGAGTGCGGGGCCGGATGGCCGTCTCCACCTGAAGGGCAGCGGCGTTCTCCTTGTCTGCACTTGAGAAGGACTTACTGTGTCGCTGTCACGGCTCTTCTGGGATTGGCCCACTGCACTGGGCGTTTTGTTCTTTCCCGTTTGTTCTCTGGTGTGCACGTTGATGAAAGCATTTTGGTACAAGGGAAGTGAGTTGGTTTTCTACCATTTAAACAATCAATTTGGAAAGTGCACATTGAAACATTTTCTGTTTTTAGCTTTGGTTAGACTGATTTTCTTTCTTTCTTTTTTTTTTAAAGATTGGCACCTGAGCTAATATCTGTTGCCAATCTTCTTTTTTTCTTCTTTTTCTTCTCCCCCGCAAAGCCCCTGCAGTATATAGTTGGACATCCTAGTTGTAGGTCCTCTGGTTGTGGCATGTGGGATGCCGCCTCAGTGTGGCCTGATGAGCGGTGCCGCGTCCGCGCCCAGGATCCAAATCAGCAAAACCCCGGGCCACCGAAGCGGAGCGCGCGAACTTAACCGCTTGGTCACGGGGCCAGCCCCTAGACCGATTTTCTAAGAATTATGTGAACGAAAATTCATAGTCCAGGAGCAGTCCGTGCCAGCTGTGGCGGTTCAGCAAGGCTCATGGTAGCCAGAGTAGGTTGCCTTGGAGGGGGCCTGTACAGCTGATGTCCCAGAGTTTCTTTTACTGATGAAACCTGGCTTTTCAGCTATTTTAGGAGCTTGGCTTAGAGCTCCCACTTTCCTCCTAACATAGCCTCTTTTTTTCCTTTTTTAAATTCTCTTCAGCTCATTTTCTGCTATCACCATGTGACATAAACCAACTGTTACTGATTTGGCATGTCTCAGACTAAATTACCAGTTGCTTTGAATGCGTCGGCCCACTTAATTATTGCAAAGGAGAAATGAGAAGTAATCTTTCCTCCGAGCTAATTTAGCTTTGAGTGAACTAAATGGCGTTTCCTCGCTTCCTCCCCAAAGGCCTTTTACGCAGTAGAGAGTGTGCTAAATAGGGGAATTGAATTCCTCTATGCTGAATGCTCGTTTGCTGCCAAAGATCCACTTGGGGGCCCTTGTCTAGAAAGCTCTAAGACTAAATTTGGCCAGAGCCAGGCTGCTGATTGCTCTCTTCAGCTGCTAGGGAGCTTATGTTTTGCCCTCTTAATGTTCCTTTCCTTTGGTACCAATTTCCTTTTTTTGTTTTCATTAGTATTTGGGAGTTTGGCTCCAAGTTCAGCTAACCTTTAACACCACTAGTGGGTTGAGGTGAGGAAAGGGGGTGAAGTTTCTCTAATGCAGCGTTCAGCAAACTTCCCCTGGAAAGGGCCAGATCGTAAATATTTTTGGCTTTATGGGCCACCTCTGTCGCTGCTACTCTAGGAATGGGCACAGCTGTGTTCCATTACACCTTGAGCGTCAGAAGCAGGCTGTAGGGTGGATATGGCCCTTGGGCCGTAGTTTGCCCACCCCTGCCATAGTGGGTTGAGTTGGTGACAATGACAGGATCACCCTGCTGAAAGCTGGCAGATGAAGGACCTCCCGGTTGGGTGTGGATGGTAGAAAGGAGTTCTGTAGGTGAGTGCCCCACATCCCCCAGGGCTGCTCTCTGCGCGTATGTTCATATGTGGCCAGTGGTAAAGTACCGTGTTCCAGCACGTGGCGTAACTGTCGTCATGTGTAATTGAGCTCCCAGGCCCGGGCACGAGTTGATATACCTCTCATTGCACTAGTTTGTGATTGTGCTAGTCGTGGGCGATGGGCTTGGCTGCCCAGATAACCCTTCAGGACCGAAGAAGGACTGACTCCCCCAGCTCCCAGCGGTGTGCTGGCCGTCCCAGCTGCTGGCCCTCTTTGGGAGTTTCCCCTGCTGAGAAGCCCTGCCTCCGACAAGGTCATGCCCCTTCCTGGAGCAGCCGGTAGCCTGTGACTGCCCAACTCTGAGGGCCCATCCCAGCTCCAGAGTCCCCCTGGGGTCAGCCGAGGCCTCTCTGTGTCTGCATGGCAGCCCAGCTCCTCCTCCTGCCAGCCCTGCTTCGCTCTCCCTCACCCCGTCCCTTCCCTTCTGTTGATACCGACAACACCGCCCTGTAGATTTCCAGCGCGCGCATCTCCATCCGCATCGTCCTAGGGAGCCCAGCCCACAGCAGTGCTTCTGTGCTCTTCTCGTTCTGCAGGCCTGAACTCTGACTTCGGAAACTGTTTTGTAATCATTTAGTAGAGTGACAAATGGTGCCTGTATGATCACATCAGGCACAAGAAATGCAAACTAGGTAGACTTACTGTTTATTCTGAATGTGAATTTGCTATTTATTCTACATGTTGATTTTATGTTATATGATATGGAACTTATTGCCAAATAAAAGTTTGAATTGTATCGTCCAGTTTATTGTAAAGCATGTGTTTTGTGTGCTTAAGTTAGGGGCAAGGCCATACCAAATTCTAATATACCCAAAAAAGAGTATCCCCTGGAGAAGGGGTGAAAGATTCAGGGTTCATTTCTCATGCCCCGGACCCACCACCCCCAGGAAAGCACACTGCTTGTTTGCAGAGCTTGAAGACTGTAGTTAAGCTACAGATGGAAAATTGGGGGAGCTTAGCCACTGGTGGGCAGCAGGTGACCCATGTGGAATTTCTCTTCTCCCAAACAGTTCCCTCTTCGAGAACAAGAAGACGGTGATCCACAGGTTTGTCTGCACTCGAATTACCAGGAAAGCTGGGAATTGGAAGCAGTGTTTTAAGGGAAGAAAATACTGAATAATACTAAACTAGGAGTGTGTGCTATGAAGTCAGCTCACTACTGGGTTTTGGATAAATTTATAAGTAGCTTGAAGAGTTTATTTTTTAACTGTGTAAATGTGTGTTGAAATTCCTTAATATCCTTGACCTCTCATTGTGCCTGTCGCTTACTCTCATTCACTCCTTCCATGGAGAGCCTGCTGTTTTCCCTCTTACTCATGTGCCTTTTTGTACCTGTGAAGGTGGTAGTGGTGGACTCCCTAGGGAATCTGTCCTACATTCTTTTTGGGGAGCAATCTCCTGAAAACGCGGCATTGCTCCCGTCATGGCTTGTTGTCCTAGAGGGGATGGTAGCTGTTCCTCTGCCTGAAATGGGGACTTCTTCCCCTTCTTGGAGCTGTGAAAAAGCTTACTCTGGGGCTTCCAGAATTTTGGACTTGGCTCAGGAAAAGCCCCGATGATATGGAACAGTGATATTTGGGCCATGAGGGCAACAGAGAGGAGAGTCTGAGATCAGCTCAACCCAGCCTTTCCCTTCTCTGTCCCCAGCAGTGACTCCCGAGCCTGGCCAGCACTATCCCCTCAGGGGCAATTTGGAAATGTGTGGTGGGTGGGTTGGAGGATGCTCAGATGTCGCACTCCTGGCATTTTGCAGGCAGGGACATGGTGTGGTAGACATCCTGCGTTGCACAGTGAAGAACTGCCTGGAGCCTACACATCACTGTAAATTCCAGAACATTTTCATCACCCCAAAAAGAAACCCTGTACTTCTTAACAGTTAATCCCATTCCCCACTTACCCATTCTTTGGTAACTGCTAATCTACCTTCTGTCTCTGAATTTGCCTATTGTGGAAATTTTATCGAAATGGAATCATAGAGTATGTGGTCTGTTGTGTCTGGCTCCTTTCACTTAGCTAACATTTTCAAGGTTCATTCATGTTGTTGCACATCTCAGTACTTTGTTCCCCTTTAGGGTGGAATGATATTTCATCGTGTGGATATATAATTTATACAAATACACAATATGCAATTTGGTTATCCATTCATAAGTTGATAGACATTTGGGGGTATTTCTGCTTTTTGGCTATTAGGAATCATGCTTCTGTGAACATGCACAGTATATAAGTTTTTGTGTGGAACTGTTTTCATTTCTCTTGCGTATACAACTAGGAGTGGAGTTTCTGGATCATATGGTAACTCTTTGTTTAACTTTTTGAGGAACCGCCAGACTGTTTTCCAAGGTGGCTGTGCCATTTTATAAGGCCCCCCAGCAACATATGAGGGTTCCACTTTCTCCACATCCTTGTCAACACTTGTGATTGTCTGTCTTTTTGATTATAGCCATCCTAGTGGGTGTGAAGTGACGACTCATTGTGGTTATCACATCTTCTTAAAATTAATGCACAAACAAGCAAACAAAACAATTAAGAAAGAATTTGTAAGGCAGATTTTGGCTAATTGAAAAGGCCATAATTAGCCCTAATAAGTGGATTTTACCTTCAAAGTTTGACTCCTCCTGTGGCAAACTGTTGTTTCTCAAAACACTAGATATATTCTGTTGACTTTATTTCTGTCTCATAAACATTTATCGAGCACATTTCCTGGGCCAGACACTGGGCTGGGTACTGGATACACATGCATGAGGCAAGTCCCTGCCCGCGGAGCTTACAGTATAACAGGGAAACAAGACAAGGCCACGTTACTATAGTGTTGGGTAGAATGTACTAAGTGCCACCTAAAGGTACACAGGAGGGACAGCTGAGGGTCAGGAGGGAGACCCTGGGCTCGTGGGTGGATTTGACATGGCCCCTCACCCACAGAAACTAAATAATCCCCCAGATGAACCAAAGAACATGAGGTATGGCTTCTGAGTGCTTCCTACTGTGAAATGTTGAAGGACCTGACATTCCCAAAAGGCACCTGGTGCTGAGGATTCACAGTTGACAGCCTGGTGAGGCCGTGGGTGATGGCTGACTGTAGCCTGCTGAGGCCGTGGGTGACGGCTGACTGCAGCCTGGTGAGGCCGTGGGTGACGGCTGACTGTAGCAGGTCCGGGCCCTCACAGGGCCCCCAGGGGGTCACTGCTCTCCAGCTGCTGGTCTTCAGAGTCCTGGAAAAGAGAGGTCTGTGAAACACGCAGAGGACGCACAGGACCAGCTTGTCGAGCATTTCTTTTGGCCACTGGTCTGAGGCCTTGATGGGGTTCAGGACACGCTACCCCAAAATATGGCACCTTGGCGTACTAAGTATCTTAAGCTGAAGGAGTTTTTAAAAACAGCAGAAGCAGGAAGGTCTCTGTGACCTGTTCCCCTGCCCTTCTTCCCGGAAACAGGTCATAAAACTCCCATGTGAGGGGCTGGCCCCGTGGCCGAGTGGTTAAGTTCGCGCGCTCCGCTGCAGGCGGCCCAGTGTTTCGTCGGTTCGAATCCTGGGCGCGGACATGGCACTGCTCGTCAGACCACGCTGAGGCAGCGTCCCACATGCCACAACTAGAGGAACCCACAACGAAGAATACACAACTATGTACCGGGGGGCTTTGGGGAGAAAAAGGAAAAAATAAAATCTTAAAAAAAAAAAAAAAAACTCCCATGTGAAAGGTGCTCTCCTGGGACCAGGAGGAGAGGAGGCACTCATCGTCAGGGGTGGGGAATTTGCGGCCAAGAAACCTGTACAGACAAACCTTGTTAACCCCCTCCCCTCCTGGTTACTGCTTCACCACTGACCACCCCCAGCCCACGCCTCTTTGTCTTGTCAATTCTTCACAGATGTATTGTTTCTTTGTCTAAAATGTATACAAGCTTCCTGCTTGGGTCACTTCTTCTGGTCTTGGTTCTCTTGTGAAGGCTCCCATGTGCATGTCAACATTCAATAAAATTTATATGCTTGTCTCTTGTGAATCCGTCTTTGTCAGCTTACTTTTCAGACCCAGCCAGGGACCCTAAGAGGGTTGAGGAAAACTTTTTCCTCCCCTACAGCCTAAATGATTCTTCCCCAAGTGCCCTGTGAACACACGTGCGGTGGGAGGGTCCCTTCACGCTGCTTTCTGACGGCTCGTGCTGGGAGGCAGGATGATACAGTGGTCACGGCCTCCCGTTCTGGGAGAGGCTCAGTTGTTTGAAGGTGTGTAGCCCTGGATGAATCATTTCAACTCTGCTGTAGTTTTCTCATCTACAAAGGGTCCTGACAGCATTTACCTCACAGGGAGCTGTGAGGATTCAATTAGATACTACATTAAGGAAGGTACAGGTACCCCACAAAAGGTGGCTGTTAATAGGATTACAAAAAACTCCTTTCGAGTTGAAAATTCATTCTGAACCACGGTGGCTCTTGAGCATTTGAGAGAGTCTAATCAGAGGCCGTACTCCAGAGGCAGCCACCCCAAGCCTTCCAGTCTGTAGCTCTGATCAGCACAGAAGCTTTGTTAATTAGCATACTGGATGTGTTCAAGATGTCTGGATTGGCTGTAGATACTGTATAGTCACCCCCACCCTTCAGTGTAAAAGCATGAGAACCTAGCACATCACTTTTTGGAATGGTACCCTCAGCTTAGGATTCCTGTTACTGGAACAGTTTTGCCCCCCGCTCTGATTAGAAGGTTTAGCTGACCCCTCCATCTAGGATGCTCTCTTGCCAGCCTCAGCAGAATCTTTCATGCATGGGGCTGAGAAGGTCTGGAGAGCATTGAACAGGCTGGATAACTTTTTTCTCCTCCTGTTTATTTTTATTTAGTTTTCTGGGTGAGGAAGACTGGTTGTGAGCTAACATCTGTGCCAGTCTTCCTCTATTTTGTATGTGGGATGCTGCCACAGTGTGGCTTGATGAGCGGTGTTTAGGTCCACGCCCAGAATCTGAACCTGTGAACCTTGGGCCACTGAAGTGAACACACGAACTTAACCACTACGCCACTGAGCCAGCCCTCCCCTTCTTTTTAATTGAGGTTGGGTTCAACATAACAATGCTTACAGAAATAAACTATTAGTTAATAAATGCATGCTAGCTGAACTTACGTGCAATTTGAACTGGAAACTTTCACATGGGTTTGATTGAAAAACAAAATAGGATTTATGATCTGGTTATTTTTCAATCTATTGCAAGTATATGAAATCTGCTACCACAGGTACTAAGAACCACAAGATATTTACGTTTGGTACCCTGCAGAAAAATAACATCTGTTACACTATACAGGCTTAAAAATGGTGCAATAGAATATTTCTAATGTTTCAGTGCCAACCTAACAAAAATTCTGTCACCATAATATAGTCTTGCGGGGGGAGGGGCAGTGTAAGTCCAGGCACAAAACAATTACAGCAGCTCTCTGGCTTTGGTTGCTACTGCACGAGGGTTCTAGACCCACACATGCCAAGGTTCAAGTAATTCCTGGACCTGAGTAATGCTGTCAGCTGTCTGCTGAGGTACAAAAGGACACTCAGCGTACTGGCTATTAACTTTTCCTATTTTTATATTAAAGGAAGAATTAAGTTTTATCCCTAGCTTCTCAGAACTGGTAATAAACTACTGGCAGGGTGTACCTTGCACATTCAGCATGAATAGAGTACCCTGTCTTGGGGTCCCCCTGAGTTGAAGTCCATGCAGGCCCCATCTAAGCTCAAGGATCACTAACTCTAGAACAATGGTCCTTTTCTG